TCGAATTGAATTGAACTTGTATTTTCAACGCTCCGCTCGCGTTTTTCTCTCTCTGTTTTTCTCGCTTTCTTATCGCGACAGCAACAGGCACCTCAAAAACAAAAATAAATAAATATAGAAATAAATGGGAATATGCACTTGTTTGTGTGGCGACCGCAAACATTTAACGTTATTCTGCATTTCTTCACTTCTTATCGCCGGACTGACTGACCATTTAAGTGGTTTTGTTTTTGCTTTTATTCAGCAGAAACCTATTATTATGCTGTCCCACAAGTGAATCCGACTACTATATATGTATACACATGCTCCTCATAGATATGATATTATGATGTCAGGTGGGGGTCATCGTCATCCCAACAGACTTTGCTTCTGCCGGCGATTGCCGTCGCCTCTGATTTCACAGGCGCCAGGCATTATTCCCGTGGCATTATCGGGTGTCTCCCCTAATTGCTGGGTCCATTGTCTTCCCCAATTAGCGCACATAGCCACAAAGAACTCTCGTGGAGTGGAAATAGGTCTACCTTTCATCGCCCTCGCTAAAGTACTGCCTGCTGTCATTCGCCTTCCGATGAGGTTTATTAATCCCGCACAATATTTTCTACACCTACATATGAATACTTTCCTCAAAGAGAAAAAATCTATGAAATGAGCGATTTAATTTGGTATTGTATACTGAAGAAAACTTGAATATTTTATTGGTACCTTCAACTAATTGTTGTGGCTCAACCATTGAGTTTGTTGACTAAAATATATATTCATTTTATATTACTTATACCTTTTTCTTTTTATTGCACCGCTAGCAAATAAAAAAATTATGTTCGCTTTTAAAAAACAAATTATAAATTTGAATGCCTTGCATTTGGTACATTTTAAGAGCTAATATAATACTTAGGTACACAACGGATGTTCTCTACATGGAGTTTACCTAGGGTGATTTCTGTTTCAAATAGAAGCATGTTGCCTATTTTCAGGCTGGGCTTAAAAAGAGTAGGTTTGATAATTTCCCATCGTTTTCTAGGCGCAAAGTCAGCCAAAGCCAAACTGGAGAAAGAATCGCGATAATTTCGCCTCAGGCTGCGAAGATATGGAGTGTGATAAATCTCGAAATCTGTATTGTCATGAAACTTTCTAGCCACGCTGACAGGCTTCTTTTTCTTTCTTTGTGGCCAAAACCATTGAATTTATTATATTTTGCACGCTTTTTGTCGGCCACGATAAGCGAGTGGGGAATCGCAAGCACACGTGATAGCAGCCCCTACCTGACAATCAATTTCTTTTTATTTTTAATTCGTTCTGCCACTGATTTCCATAATCAAAAGAATCGCGCGCACACAACTGCACTTTTGGCCCACACCGCAATCTTTCTCCATCGCTCTCCACAACGCCTTTTTGCAAACAAAATCATTTTTATAAATGATTTTTACTACGCAGTTGAGTTGGTGGCAGCCAACTGAAGCAAAAGTTGGCCACACACAGCTGTGGCAATTCGCGAAAACAATATGCAATTTGGTAGCGTAATATTTACTGACTCAAATAATAATAGAAAAAAAGTATTATAATTAAGACAAAAGGAAAAAGCTTTGCACGCTATATAGGTCCACCGACATACAAAGACTTACATAAACCCATTTAATAAAAATGATTGCCCATTTAGATAATCGTAGAAAGAATCGACTGGAAAAGCCTGCTGCACAGCGGAAAGAAAGAGTTATATCAGCTGTCCCTGATCCAATAGAAAGTTAGTAGCTCCTAAGGTTCTTTGTGCACATTTCCACCTGTCCATATAGCACAATCTTGTCCACAAAGCGATTCAAGTGAGGCTTGACGTAAGCAGAAGAGTTGATGAATTTCAATATAGAAACCTATGTGTACCCATAAAAATCCCCCGGCTGATAAGCTTTAGAAGGCTTGCAAATCTTCGACGAGATTCAAATCTGCTCTGGAAATCCCCACGTAGTATGAGCGAATGTGGAGCTGTTTACTTGCTTCAATATGCGTTTCAAAAATGTAAAGCGATTTGCAAATTTGACTTCCAAAATTACACGCAAGATTTGAGATGTAAAGTTATTCTGGGCCCCTTTCAAAGAATTTCAAGATATATAGGAGAGTTTGGGACAATTTCTATTGCGCTATAAACCTCTTCACAATCGATAAACAATTTACATTTATTTTTTAGAAAACGCAATCATTTTTGTTTGATAGGCAAATTGCCTGCGATAACTGGTCTTATGCGATATATTTAGCCGATAATTAAAATTATTTGATAGCATTATCACATCGACATTTAAACTTAAGCAGGAACTTTATCCGAAAAGGTACTTGACTTCTTTAATTTAAAGCTTTGTAATTAAAATTGAATATGAAAGGAGAACCTTTCATAAAATACGATTATGATTCTAGATCACTTATCTGCCGTCGAAAAAGTTTGAGGTATGAATAACTTTTAATTATAAAATTGATTAAACCTGTTCTTCTACTCTCTATTGTCGATAAAACGAGTTCGAGTTACCTTTTTTAAGCAAGGGTGACTAACCTTCGGAGTAAAATTAAAGGTCAGGTATCTCGTTTTAAAAGACATAAATGCATTTTAAATTTTAAGTGTTTAAGAGTGTCTCAAAGTTGAATTCACTTGACTATTTCAACTGTACCATTTGATTAGCATCAAAGATTCTCACAGCGATCTTACATTTTTCGGTTCGATATCATTCTAAATGAATTAAATCTATGAGTAAAGTCGCTTGTTTAACCAAGTTTCAACCATGACTTTCGAAAGCGGTAAGAAGGGCACCTTTTGTTGCCATACATATATGCCAAATAAAGCTTTCGGTGTGATAAGTTCTTCACACTATCTTATCAATGGTCTCGCTTCCGTCTCTAAAGTGTTGGCCACGTGTGGGGAGATTTGTTTCCAAGCCAGAATAATTTTAAAAGAAATCCTCCCAACTTGGCCCACTGTGCAGCGGCATCAAAATTCACGTGGGGCGAATTTATGTACGGCTGGCCCCAAAAGAGTAAACATCAACAACAAGCGGACGGGAGATCTAATTCTAGTGATTCATTTGAAAATGTGTGTTGGGATTGTTTTTCTAAAAATTTTCAATGTTTTCGTCTAGTTTTTGTTTCTACAATTTGAAGGCCAGCAAAGGCAATGCTAAGGCTAAACAAATTGTTGAAACAGTTGTTTAAGCGGCCCAACACGAAGGTATCTTGGCCAAGAAGTGCCGGTAATTGAGGAACTGTGTGGATGGCATTAATATTTAGTGTCTGGTAAGTGAGTTCCTTTGTCTTCGCTTCAGGCTAAGCTTTCTAAATCGACCCTAGGCAACCGATTTGTCGAAATATATACCCACCATTCACAAACAAGTTTCACTTTTCGCATCAGTGTGTCTTGTTTTTTCCTGATTTTTGGTTCGCTTAGAACTAGTTTTGGTAACTAGCTAGCTAAGTGCCGCAGCACATGCTAATCAAACCACTTTCGGTGGTTATTTTTCCACAACAAAATCCAAATCCAAATCAAAAGTCAAAGACGTCAGCGAGGAATTTGCATAAAATACCTGAGCGTCGAACTTCTGGCAGAGATTTGGTTACCATATTGATTGGATCTCGAGTTGTTGGGCCAGAATTTATGTACATAAGCAGCTATTAAGAGTGACGGAGATTCAAGGCGAGACCTCAGTATTTCCGTATATTAGCATCGCATTTGTCTACTCGATTGCACAAAATCGCTGCCGACAAATTGCCCGCTGTCAGCCAGGGCGTATACGTAATATTTCGCCTCTAGTGCATAACCGTAAATAACAAACAAAAAGAATACATATATGCACATACATACGTACATACAAAGGTAAGAGATAACAAATTGCAAAACAATGACAAAAAAAAGCCCCGCAAATCAGTGCGGTGAAGTCTTAGATTGTTTGTTTCGAGTTGAGTTGTGCAGTATAGTTTGTGCTCCATTTCGCAACTCCCGAAATGAAATGAAATCAGCTTATCAAAAATATATAGGTGACTAAGCACTCGCTTTCTCGCCCTTCTGGCTCTCTTCCTTATCACCAGTGCTTGTTTGTGTGCCATTAATTATGGCTACTTCCTTCGGTAGCTTGTGAAGCTGATTAGAACAAAAACTTCTCGAATTGTGGCAACAGTTTAACTAATGGAAAGTTACGAAAGTTCCTCCTCTGTGCGAGCCAAAAACTACTGCGTTATTTGATTTATCAATTTGCTTAATCTTGATTCTAAGTAAGTAAAGGCGTAAAAACAACATTTTTCCCCAGTTAACTCCTCTTAACACTTCATCAATATTTAAAAATGTATTTATATTTTAACCCTCATAGTATTATTGCAGTTTTTACATGGCTCCCATTGGAATTTTTCCTTGAAAAAAAATAACTGAATATGCTGTGTTTCAAAGAATCCTTATCTTAAAGAAAAAGTTCCAGTATCGATATTCAGGGGCGGACGCAGGGGGGTGTCCGGGGGTCCGGACCCCCCAAAATCTCAGACTTTTTCAAATTTCCTTACAGCACACCGCTTTTCAACCATAAAAACTAAAATGTTTTTTGGTCGGAAAAATTTTTTGATCGGACCCCCCAAACGTAAAAATTTTTGATCGGACCCCCGAACAACAAAAAATTTTCGATCGGACCCCCCCAAAATTTTTTCTGCGTCCGCCCCTGTCGATATTGCATGTGGGGTTTTCGCTAAGCCAACTATTGTTGTTTGCGTCTAGTCATACGTTCAGGGAACTATTCTATAAACTAAAGAGGAAGAATATGATAAAATATTGCATTTTAAATTGAAAGTTATCTGTTAGTTATATCTATTTAAAATATCACATGTTTTTTCCTTCTTTAGTCAGGTTCTAAAAATCAATCTTTATAATCCTTTACTTTCTGTGCAGGTCTTAAGTAGATTTGTTTAATAGAAGTTTATATTCATTAAATAGCTTACTGCATAAGGAGTTTAAATTTTGTTTGATCCGAGATCTTTTTGTGACTCACCTGCATTATGGGATACGCGACACGTCCTTTTCCGAACCGCTCTATGATCGTCAGCTTTGTGGAACTGGCCATTACTCCGGCGATGTTTGATGAGGACAAAACAGGACGCGACGGCGGCACAATGGGCACAAAGTCGCGGTTCCTTTCGGCGAAGGAACGATCGAACGAGTTGCGTCGATCGCTGTGGGAGCGTCTGTAGGCCACATGATTGCTGTTACCACCGCCAGCGGCACTGGGCGCACGACCCGACTGATAGGTACTGGATGCACTGTTGTACTGGGAAACACCCACGTAGGATTTGGACTTGCGATACTGCTTGCCGGAGTAGACAGTCGGTTCCGGATAGTTGAGATCGCTAAAATTGCTGGCGGTCTCCGATCTGGAACTGGTTGTCGACGAGGAGGAGGAGGATGGGGATGCGTAGGTGGAAATGGAGGATGTGGAGGCGGTCACGGTGGCATTCAGACTGGAGATCATCGATGGCTTGGAGCATTTGGCACAGGGCACAGCCAAAGCGGCTGTTAACAGTTCAGCGGGGTTTATTTTGCCCTCGCCACTGTCCAGTGTTGCCGGTGTGTCCAATAAGTTGCTGATGTTGCTGCTTTTGTTGCCGCTTGTGGTACTTATGTTGTTGTTGCTCCTGTAGTCGCTGCTGTCTCGTGGCAGCGATTGCAAGAATATCTGTTGACGCTGTGGCTTGGCTTTTTTACTGCTACGTTGCTGTTGTGGCTGGTGTCCTTTGCCCGCATTCTTCTTGTTGTTGCTGTTGTTGTTGTTGTTGGGCTTGGCATTTAGTCCTTTGTTGGCTGTTGTTTTATTAATTGTTTTGTTGCTTGCATTGTTGTTGCTGATTTCAATGTTGCTGCTGTTGTTGCCCGCCGCCGGCAACATTGCCTCTCGCTGCTTCTTGCCATTTCCCTTGTTTACCATTTTCTATGTCTCTGTCGGCCCTTTTTAACCGTTATCCGTACTGCGCTTCTAGGTTTCCGTTAGTTTTCTCTGCTCTACGTTCTGTGCGCAATTGGCTTTTGGCTTCTGCTTGCGCTAGTGTTTTGTTGTTGTCGTTTACCGTTGCTCTTTTTCTCTCTCGTTCTCTGCTTTTTTGCTATCTCACACCCGCGCGCATTTGCTCTCGATTTCGTTGAGCTTTTTTTTTTTTTTGTTTCTTTTAGTTTGTGCCACGTTTTGTTGTTGGCGCGCCGCGATTTTGTATTTTGTGTATTTCGCTTGCGTTCTTTTTATTTTTATATTAAATGAGCTTTTGTTGTACACCTTTTAAAATGTTTTTAATCATGAAATTCATTAATATTGTTTCTCACTTGCTAACACTTTTTCTTCAACTGCGTCTTTTTGGCGAAATTTCTGTTTTTCAGTTTTTTATAAGAAGGTAAAAGCGAGCGGCCGCATCATCATGTAAAACAAAGAAAAAAAGGGAAGACACAAAAATAGTTATTGGCTTTTTGCTTTGTAGAGTAATTGATTTCTAAATTGCTAATATGTATGTACATCTGTTGTACATATAAATTAATTTAAACTAATATGTTGTATAATATAAACTAAATACAGTTGATATGTACAAATAAAGCAACCCAAAAATCGCATATGAACGCATGTGTACATATGTACAAATGTGTGTATTTATGTATCTCCCAGCATTTGTTCTCCTTCCCCTTTGATTTTAGCAATCTTTTTTATTTAATTAGCTGATGTGTTTTCCTAAAGGAGCTAAAAGTATAAAAATCCCCACCATTTTTAAACGCGCAATTTGTATTACTTATTTTTTGCGTCCATTCGAAAAAGCAAAAACAAAATTACCGAAAAATAACGTATGTATGTACATAAATATGCACATATGTATGTATGCATACATTTATATTTGTGGTTTGTGTGTTAGTATGTAAATGCTTGCCATTTGGCGGGTTCTCCCTCTTTCTCTCCCTCCATCTCTTTCTTACCCCCAGCCCGATGATGTAAGTTTTCGTATAGGAATGTTTTATTTAATTTTCCTTTGCTCTTTACTTCACCACCGCGACGGCGAATAATCAGTAAACTGATCACGAGATCAATATTGTTCTTAAGGTCCCATAAACTGCCTCCGTTAATTCCCTCATTAATGTCTGTTTATTACTGCACTCGACCCACTGCATTTCAAATAAGATGATCGAGCCGATGCTGGTGTACCCTTTTACATATTTAGGCAAAAATAATATTTTAAATAAAGTGCCAAATCGTATATAATTGGTATTTTAATGTCATACATTTACATACATACATACATCTCTAACTCTAAGCTTAAGTAAAAGATAACACTTTTGTTAAAAGCAAAATGTAAAAAAGTTTTCTAATTGTTTCTACACAAGTATACATACATATGTACATATATGTAACTTTGTACATATGTACATATGTAACTTTCAATAATAGTTAATCAAATACATTTCAAAGGTTATCAATCATGCGTACTGTTGCCTTACATATTGTCTGATTTTCCACAGAGAGACTTTTTGTATGAGCCATTTTTTTAAATACATATTTTAATCATTTAGATTTTCTTTTTAAAATTCACACGCAGCACTGTAATCTTCCGATCAGGACTATTATACCTTCTGCTAGGGTATGAGAAAAGCCCCCTTACGAAATTAAACATTCCGCTGCCACTTTATTACTGTTTACCAGGCGTTATGACTCAGCTCTACATATAGGAGAAATTCAAACTGATCCCCTTCCCTTCCCAATGAGTAAATTACTTTTTCAGAACTGTCGAACACTAACCGATCTTGAACCAAAAATATGATGGATGGATGTAAGAACGGCGTTAATTGTATCTCCTAACGAGCAAACGTATTAGGCAATGTGTTAAAATGCATGCTAATAATATTTGGGTATTCCCGTGTGTTGAATTGTTTTATTAATGAACGAATGCGCACAAAATATGATAAAAAGCTAAAAAACTCAAAAGCCTGCAACAATTGATTATTTTCTTCTAAAATTCGCCAACACTTTTGAATGCCGCATGTTAAACAAACGTTGAGCACAAATTTTAAACTGGTAATAAAGTTCTTCTATTCAGCTAAACCCTATTAAATATAAGCTTATTTATTTTGAATTTAACGATCTTCTTGACATACATATGTATAGAAAATAAAATCACTTAAAGGAAAGGATCTTGGGTTGAATAATATTTGAAGGTGTTTTAATTTAAATACCTCTACACCGCCAAAAAATAGCGAAACCGGAAATGCCAGATGCCAAGACTACCCAAGAACTAAAAGGGGGGAATGGGTAGAGGGCGGGGGGCGTGTGTGTGCCTAGATCGTTATCCGCATTTCTGGTTTGCTTTTCATTATAGGCAGATCACAAAACCATGCGACACGATGCGATCTGCGAATTCCCCGGTCCCCGAGAACTGTGCTGCAGTCACGTAGCCCCACTAATTGAGCGAGATCAATAACGGTGATTGTGTGTGCTTCTACATATACATATGTGTGTGTATTTACCTGAACAGTTCGGACAGCTCGTGCCTATATTCTCATAATCCAAAATTCACGCTTTTAGTTTGGATGAATAGCCACTGGGTGTTTTTCACAAAGAAATAAACCGAAAAGAATCCTGTCTTAACGGTTTTCGGAATAGGTAGTAGCTATTGTGGTCTATCGGTATCAAGTACCGGGTATCGGCTATCGGTATCGGTATGCTAACGACGACGGGCAGCAGGGTGTGGGTGGAGTTTAAAATTCCGGCGAACCGTTGGCAGAGCGCCTCAAACTAAAAGCAATAAGCGGTCCAGGATGGCGATCGGTATCTCCGGTATTGGGTTTTTATTTTGGATTACTACGGCAGAGTAACAGCCAAAACTTTCAGTTTCTCTTTTTGCTCAGATTCTGACAAGTAACACCGTAATTGCTCGGCTACCGTTACCCTTGGTCTTTAAAAAGCCGTTGCACTGAACACTCACACACTTAGAAACAATCACTCACACAAACACACGCGTTCGCTCACTTAACTCCCAACTTTTCGATTTCTGATTTTTAATTTCAATTTCACTTTTTTCGTTTGCTGTTTTACGTTATTTTCTTCGTTTCTACAGACCACGCGTTTCGATCGGTTGGCGGAAGCTTGCCGAAAGCTTCGAGAATGTGGTTTTCGATTAGACAGCAAAAGGGCTGATAAAAGTTGCACTTGCACCTGGCTATATAGCGCAATAAACGGCTCAGTTTGGGAGTTGTGTTTTGGTCTAACTGTCAGTGAGTTGCTATATTCGATAGTATAACGGTTGCTCAGCGTTCGATCGGGCTTAGGTTGGCACTACTGTACACTGAACTGCACCCTGGGCCTTTGGTCTAACTACTTGAGTGGCGAACATGTGACGAGCAACTGATGGCGCTGGCCCGCTGGTCCGCTGGCCAAGCGTTCGGCGGCAGCGGTAACGCGTACAGTACAGACAGCCTAAGATCGGCATCACAGTCATTTCTCACAAAAATCAAGGCAAATTGAAATTTTGATAGCATAACAATATTTTTAAATTTTATTAATGCATGAATATATATTATTTTATTATTCTTTGTTATTCTTTGCAAAAATATTTTTAGGCTTGCATAAGTAAGATCATAAGCAAGAAAAACTTAAAATTTTTGTTTTAGTACAAAATTGATTGGTTTAGTAAGATTTATTGATTTACAAAAGACCTGCAAAAACCGGTTGCAAAATGCATTGGCAAATAAAACTATGATTTAGGGCTTAGTTATTTTAAAAAAGTAAAGTTGAATTATTTGCATCATTAACAAAAAACTTGTTTTCTTTACGTTGAGGTTCCACTGTTTTTAGTGGGAGCAAAACGGAGGCGCCGACGTTTCTAGAGAGTGCCAACGAAAAGTTCGCGAAACAGAATAAGCAACAACAATTAAGTCGGAAATAAGCCGAACGTTGGCGCTCTCTAACTCTCTCGTTTAAGCACCCCCCTCATATTTGCTGTGACCATGTCTTTTTCTACCATCGTCTTCCTCCCACTCTTTCGTTAGGCAAAAGCTGCTCAAAGCTTTTGAGTAGTAGGTCAAGAAATGGCTAGGAGCTACATATTGTTTTTTAAGGTTTTCACTTTTAAGGCCTTGTTTAAACTGATTTATTTTTTTGGTTTAAAGAGAGGATCAGGAAAAGGTGCAAATACGTAGACAGAGGCGGAAGAGCTAAAGCTTGTGTTCGATCCGCTTGTTGTTGCCATGAAACACCGGCCGGCGTTAGCATTTCGAAATTGAGAAAGCGCCGACCTTGTGCTCTCTTTATCTCTCTCTCTGTACCCCCGTGGGGGTGAGGCATAAATAGCGAGAGGGTTGGGATGGCAACCGAATGCTAATTAATCGAAAGCTTTCTTTCCATCTCTGTCGCACTCTTCAAAGCTTTGCGATCAGCAAGTTATTACCATTTATGCATATGAATTATAGGCATTTTTTGTACATGTAAACATATGTATGAATGTAAAAGGTATGCATGAAGCCCAGTGATCCTTTTGAAGGCGTAAAAATACAAAAATGCAAGTGCCGGATATGCGGGGATCACGATCACGTGACCAAGGCTGCAAAACTGCGACTAGAAATAATCGGTGAAATAGCTAAAATCACATTGTCAGGGCGGTATTTTTGGCTGTCGCCGCCTCAATAGCCAAAGCGACAAAACAAACCCAAAAATATCCACACAATCCACCGGTTGATAGTCCCATAGACCAAATGCGATGCGTAGTAGCCACGCGGCCAATAAGAAATTTCAATTATTTTGCCAACAAACGAAATCGGGCATGTATTCGTATTTATAAGAGCTGCGTAAATCCACAGTAAACAATAGTTTATCAGTTTTATTTCGTTGTCAAGTTCTCTCAACCGATTTGATTTGTTGTTGAAGGTGGGTCGTATCTACAAAACACCAAAAGAAGTTAACGTTTTTAGGTTGACCTACCTGTACTCTCTTCAAATAATGAACGACAATTATGAAACAGATTTAAAGTAATTTGTTTATGTAGGCTCTTTAAATTGCTAAACACCCATATTTATATTCCATATTTATGCCTCACGAATACAAATTTTTCCATTGAAAACATTTCCCTTGCCATCCATAAATATTTTTTTTGTTTGAAAAAAGATTAACTAAACTGACGATCTTAGCCACATATATATATTATTTTTATCCAAACTTTTATTTTATTGCAACAACATTGTACTATAGAACTTTTTTCTGACAATTCCGTTCAAATATACATACATATGAATAACGATACAATGTTGAGATGCGAAATGTGTGGGTGGAAATATAAATGTTTACAAACTCGTGTTGCTAGCAACATTTCCATGGCAACATTTCAAATGAAACATTTTCCATGGCTTTATGGCTTATCAATGTGTCTAAACAATATTCATTTTTGTTTTGGCTTTATTTAACTGATGATCCATAAAACTTTCGGGTTAAATGTAAAATTTTATAATATTTAGTGAAGACTCAAGATAATCATGTATAAAAGAAACATCTACTGATTATACTTTTAAATAAATTTCCTAAATGTAATTAATATTATTTAAAGAAAACGCTGTGCATAAATAGCTCCGCCGGTGAGAATTGCAGCCAGTAGGGTGGCGCCGGAAACACGTTTCAGCAGCTGATCCTGCCACTTCCTGTTGGCAATGCACTTGCTATAAGGCATGCTGGAAAAGGATACGCTATTATAGAGCGGAATCCAGCCGGGGAACCAACGAAACAGCAGGGTGTCCAGCCACTTTCGAAGCCGGAAGGACCAGCGTTTGGTCAAGTCACGCATCTAAACAAATTCTATTATAATATCACTAGTGAATGTATAACAATTTAAAGCCCACCTCTACATAGTTGTACATGGCCAGGTCGCAAATGGCAAAGGCGTCCTGCCAGCGGGACTCTGTAAACTGGGCCAAGGCCTCGTCCAATGGCAGCTGCTTGGCCAGGATCCCCGTGAGCAGCGTGACATCCTCCATTCCGGCATTCATTCCCTGGCCATAATACGGAACCATGGCATGGGCAGCGTCTCCCAGGATCAGCGCCTTGTCCGCATAGTGATACGGCCTGCACTTGATGGACACCAAGTGCTGTGGTCGGGTTTTGAAGAAGTCCTTTATCAGCTGCTGCTCTCCAATAAGCGGCAGCGCATCGCGGAAGTTGAGCTTGAAGAAATCTAGCAGATCATTCTGGTTCCTGATTTTGGCAAAGACCTCAAAGGGCATCGAGAGAGTGACTGTGAAGGACTTATCCTGATTCGGCAGAGCGATCATCATGAACGAGTTACGCGGCCAAATGTGCAGGTAATTGGCGGGCATCTGAAAGTCTCCCGATTTCGAGGGAATACACAGCTCAAGATATCCTGTTTCGATGTACTCCTGGGAGTAATTAAAGCCTGGCAAACGCACCAATTGCTGGCGAACACTACTGAAAGCCCCGTCACAGCCCACTATAAGATCAGCACTGGCAGCCAGGACCTCCTCCATGGGACCCCGGAACTCCAAGGATCCCTCTCGGAGATTGGCGCTTGTCAATTTGTGCTCGAAGTGGCAACGGATGTTGGGCAACTTGTCGCAGGCATCCAAAAGAACTTCGTTCAGCTGACGGCGTCCCACGGAGTACAGACATTGGTTGGTGCACGGATCGTAGAGGACCACACTGGTGTTGCCCTTCACGTCGTGCAGCATTCTACCCCTCATGGGAATGGCGGTGGCCAGGACCCTCTCCTCCAGACCCACGGCGGCCAGAGCCTTGCGTCCGCGCTGCGACAAAGCCAAGTTAATACTCCGGCCCTGGACGACCAGAGCTTGGCGAATGTCCTCCCGGTATTCGTACAGATCCACGTGGTTGCCCATGCGGGCGAAGTTCAGGGCCGCCAAGGAACCGACCTTGCCGAGAAAGAGATATGAGAGAAAGAATGATGCTCGATAAGAGAGAGTTTTATCAAACGGGAGGAGGATTAGGGAACCCACGCGATAAGCCAGCATCCAGATAAGGAGCTAACATAGTTATGCGGAAGAACCTAGTTCTGAAGGTTTGTAAATTCCGAAAATACTACAAAATGAATTAAATTCTTTAAACATCTATATACACACTTGTGAACATTTAAAAACAATTTCGTTTAATTTGTAACTCCTTTTAGAGAACAATCAGATGCAATTTAGCTATTAGTTATTTGAAATAGAAAAATGTCTGCACACGATTTCGTGTTTCTTGTTAATCTTTTTTTAAAGAAAGAAATTCAAGATGTTAGACATTTTGGTCTATTGATTAACATATAATTCTGAAAATTCTTTGCACTTGTTAACTAGTTCCATAAAACTAACACTTTATTTCAGTACCTTTAATTATTTTTACCTTTAAAAAGGGCAGAACTGTTGCAACCCAAAGAAATTTGATCCCTTCGCAGAAATTGCTTTAATGCTTTAAAAAATGAGTAAATTAGAAAAGCTAACTTCTTTAAATTAAGGAGAATCTCGTGGAATTGAAGTTTCTTTTTAACTTTGATTATTTTTACCATAGACCATATTAGACTTACCGGACCCGCTCCGATTACCGCCACCCTGCGCCGCCGTCCTTCCTCCCGCGCAGCTCCCGATGCCTCCAGACGACCGTTTACCTCCTGGCTAATGATTCCTTGCCTCATGACCGTTCAAGTGGGACGTCGCCAGCAAAATAAAGATGAAAGTGAGGTGGAAGCCAGTCAACTGGCTGGGGGAAATGTTTAACCCACAGATTATGTCGGATGGGCAGTAAATGCTATCTGTGGTTATTTGATGTTGCGGCGGGAAGCCAACAAACTGCAGCGGCGTAGCGATAAACCCTTATCAAGGGGTCGCTTACCTAAATATGATGTACCCAAAACAAAATGTTAATTTTGTGAAGATGTTAGTGAATGCTATAAAACATCGGCTCCAATCAGAATCTATTTTGAGGGGATCGAATCCGTACTTTTACAATTATCTCTGAGTACCTCGCTCGTTAAACTCAGACTTTAAAATTTGTTCAAATGTAAATAAAATAAGAAGCCTAAACAAGTAATTGATAGATTGGAATGTTTGTTGTAAAAGACAGGGCTTCGTTTAGTTTAACTAGTTTTAATACAATCATATACAAAAAAATATTAATGTTTATTAAAAACCGCGCAAATCATAAATTATGGGTACTAATTTGCAAGGTATGACAACTCTATCAACGCGTTGCCGTTAAGCCGCTAAGCTTTTTAGTATATTTTCCTTTCTTGTCCGACATTATTTGACACTTGTTTGACGGTCACACTAAAAGCTGCTGTGGAAAAACTCATGCACAATAGAAAATAGAAAACTGAGGATTTTCACAACAAAACCGAAATTCCGCGCTCCAAAAAACCGAGTAGCATGTGCAGGATATCCCCTAGTATTGGATTTTAAACGAAATTAGAAGAAAGAAGAGCAAGAGCAAGAGTAGAGCAACGCAAAAAGGCAACATTATTTGTACTCTATAGATAGCATCCAAGGAGAACCACAAAAGGCGAAACCAAAATGGTAATAATATGCCACCAAAATACGCGAAGAACAAGTGCAAAAGGGGGGAAGGGGTAACACAAAGAGGAAACGCGAGAAAAGGAAGTGAGAGTTGGTGCTGTTATAAAGTTAACTTCCGTTATTGATATCTATCTGTCCCTCTTTGGCCTCTTCGTCCCTTCCACCTGCTGCTGCAATAATTTTGAGTTTTCTAAATACTATATACATTTTTTGCCTTGCAGGGAAATGAAACATCACTGCCCATGGAAATGTGTTCCAATTGTAAGTACGAAATGGTTCAGTCAATGTCATTTGAACGGAACGGCAGCTGTTTATGAATATGCAAACATCGACACATATGTATGTTCATACAAGCGTACATTTAGATACGCTATGCATGCATGTATGTATGTTTGTAAATACGCGAATAGACAACAAAAATGGAATGCAAACGAAACGTGGCGTCGAAATTCCTTTTATAATTCTGAACTCTTTAATACGGATCATCAAGAGATTTTACACCTCCTTTTCCCATTGAATTTGGCATTCTAGAATATGTCTTTGTCACACTTTGTTTCATCTCTGATGATCGACAGACAACCGTTCGCTAAAAATAAAATAAGGTCCCATAATTATAACTTGAAACGTAAAACGTTAAGATCTTTATATTACTTATCTATATATGTATTTAATAATGGCATATTTAATAACGTCTGAAATAACTCCGAATTTCCAAAATTCCCTATTTTTAATAGAAATTTTGTCATATGAATTTTTGTAACCCAACAAATATAGTCGATTTGTATCTACATAGGTAAAATCGCTGAATGTAAATTGTAAACAATCCTCTGCTAAGGTTTTGGGACCCTTAATTGTTTCTGAAAATTATTTCCAAACCACTTAAATTTTTTTTCCTTATTTGATCAGTTGACGCCGATGAGATCCGGCGATTGGGCAAACGTTTTCGCAAGCTAGACTTGGACAACTCTGGAGCGCTGAGCGTGGACGAGTTCATGTCGCTGCCAGAACTGCAACAGAATCCGCTAGTGCAGCGCGTGATCGACATTTTCGACGCGGACGGCAACGGCGAAGTGGACTTTAAGGAGTTTATTCAGGGCGTGTCACAGTTCAGCGTCAAGGGCGACAAGTTGTCGAAGCTGCGCTTCGCCTTTCGCATCTATGACATGGACAATGACGGCTACATTTCCAATGGTGAACTGTTTCAGGTAAGTCCCTGAAATTTTCTATTAAGATTATCCTACTATACTCACTCCGATTTACAGGTATTGAAAATGATGGTGGGCAACAATCTGAAGGACACGCAATTGCAGCAGATTGTGGACAAGACGATCGGTTTCGCGGATAAGGATGAGGATGGCAAGATCTCGTTCGATGAGTTCTGCTCAGTGGTCGGCAACACGGACATTCACAAGAAGATGGTTGTCGATGTCTAAAATAGGTTTACCACAAATCCATTTTATACGCGATTTTATTTATTCTTTTGTACATGCGTCGGCATCCTTGGATTGTCACTATCACAACTATTATTATGGTTATTCTTTTTGATCAGCGATTCTCTAGTTGAATATTGTTATAAGCCGTTAGCAAGCCAGTTCAGTCAGTCAGTCAGTAAAGCGATCGAACCCTTGAGGAGCAAATCGCAAGAACAATGTTGTTATCCTAAGTTGAAAAGTGGAATAATGAGCCTCCTACTTACTTCTTTAATATATACATTTATATGCTTATATATACATGCATATATAGTCATAATTTATTATACAAATATACATTTAAAGAATTCAAAAACCCTAAAGCAAAACTAAAACACAACGGAAAAAACTCCAGCAAGTGAAGGCAAATAAAGCAAACCAAGTTGAACCAATGCTCTTTCGAATCGGTAACTGAGAGTTTTCCGCTTTCTCTCTATCACATTGATGTGTCATAGCTTACATTAATTATTTCTAATTCTCCTGTGATTTTGCCAAAAACAAAACGAAAAGCAACAAATTGAAATATTATGAGAAAGGAAACAAGCACGAGGGGCAGCTAAGCAACCTGCCCGAAGGAGCTCTTCTCTATTGACTTAGTCTAATTTACACGTTGTGTACTTTTTATATATTTATACATACATAACTACTTGTACTAATCGAATGTTATAATCTACGTATTTTTATATATCTTGACTAACTTGAGAACACCAGAGGAAGGGCGAAGTTTACCAAGTTTCTTAACTCTACCTTAACCAATCTAACGCCACTTAAAGCAAATTAACTGATTCTCACACAGAATTACGCCTCGAACATTATCTAAAATATGCTACATTTTACGGATTATTAAGCGAGTTAACTGAAAATCGAATAATTATACATCAATACATATGAAGCAATGCCATGCGATGCGAGCGCTATTGCAGTAACATTTTTTTATACTTAATTATACTAGTTAAAAATGCAAGAAAATCAAACAATAAGAATGCATGTTACAAATTTTACAATTAACAAATTTTTGCACACTCGCCACTCAATTTGTTAGCTAATCAATTTCATTTCATTATTCAAAATAATCGACTCGAGATCGTTACTCATTGTAAAATGGTTTGGCCAACCAGCTGGGACTCCAACGACAAGACGGTGCGGGATCGCTCAGTCAGCCGGCCAGTCGAAGCAATAAAAAGCAAATCCTTCAATAAAATTATAATTATACACAAGCGAACAAAGGCTTTCCAATTTGGCGATGGGAGAACGAGCGGAAGATAAGATAAGGTTCACGGAAAAAGCTTGTTTATCGATGCGAGAGCACGCCAGTTCAGTTGTGAAATTGTCCTCAAGCTGCAAGGTTCTTCATAGGGTCTGGAAAATGTTGAAGTTGGACACCAAAGGGGGCATCATCTGCACAGGCATCTTGTCCATAGCCTTTGCCATAACATACTTGGCTTTGATGGATGACTATTTTTGGAGGAGTACGACTTTATTTGATATTGTGGGAAACAGTTTCCTGATGCATGTGTATTTTTTTTTTGAATTTAGATGGCCTTTACGAACTGGGGATACACATTTCTGCCTTGCATATATTATGCAGCTTGTGCCTTCTGATAGGAGTTTATAAGGTAAGTAAAATAGTTTTTCTGAATGTCACTTTTATATTAAAACATGAAAGATAAATTCAATACAGCATAAATACAAACTCTTTGTGCCATGGATGATTTCCACTGGATTCTTTATGTATCTCATGGTTTATGTGGGCATTGTTGTGTTAACCAATGCCGGAGCGTGGATCTTCGTTCCCATTATGGTGGTTCCTTTTACCGGTACGAAGGTTAGATTATGAGATTGTGCTTTTCTTTAACCCTTTGATGCACTTTTTCAGCTTACCTCGGGTGCGCTTTGTACTCCGTGCAAAAGGCTTTCGACAGGATGCGGAAGGAAGAGCCACCATCCTATTCCGATCTGTCCAAAAAGGAATTTATCAATCATATATAGGCTTTTGTGCGTGTTTTCCTAACAAAAGATTATAAAAAGAACACTGGTTTTAGAAAAGCAGTTGTTGATAAGATTAGTAAAAAATAAAAGCTTTTTAATCATTAATCGGGCACAAACTTAAATATCTGATATTGTGTATAATTTGTGTCTGTTTATTTTTGTTATCTGCTTGGCACTGACAAAAAAATTTTGGGAATCGCGTGAATACCTCTAAAAAGACTTTACAACAATGTTACTACCTGTAACCCTTGACCATTTCAATTTTATTTTTGCAAGTAAACTTTCGAGTTATACAAGTTTAATAAAAGCAAGTTTCTCTAACAAAACGAATTGTTATGCGAAGGTGTATAGTTTATAATTCGTAACGAGTACGAACTGCAAATAGTTAAAGCTATCTTCAGTTTACCTTCTGATCGCGTTCTAAGGCGTGCAAATAACATTTCAAAGATTTCACAAGGATCTGAAACTAATCTATTTCAATTCGCCTGCTGTTACTAATCCCATATATTTACATATATGAATTGCTCATATATTGGGCTAACAAAGTAAATATTTTTTTAGCTGATAAGATTATATTTAATGTGCTCTTTCTGTTCTGAAGAAGACAAAAACAAAAATCAACAAAATCGATATCAACATACAAGTAATAAGTGCAATTTGTCCGGAAAAAAACGATATTTTCCCTTATACGGACAAAATTGAATGACTCATGTTGCAGAAAAACATGTCACAAAAAAGTGACATAACATAAAAAAAAGTAAGATAGAAACACCTTTCAATTTCATTATCAATTGTTTTAGAATTTATCTTAGTTAAAGGAGTACCGCACTGAATTAACAAAAAAAGGTAATATGTGTTTTTTTGACAATTGAAGTAATCTATACTGTACTGCTACAATCAATACACAGTATTAATTACTTGGAATCCACTTTTCCTTTTTTCTTTAGTTGGACCATGTTTTTGAAAAGCCCGCCTCTGGGAGCCCTGGTCGATATAAATCGATTCAAGTTCTAACTTTCTAGAAACTGTGTGCCAAGATGCAAACGACCTTCCATGACCTTGAGTATATTAAACAAAAAGTTCTATGTAAAACAATGCAGGTCAATAATTAGCACGTGAATCTTAAGATAAACAACCCCCAAAAAGCCGAATGGAAATATATGTATATGTAGGTCTGATTTTGCCATTATGTTTAAGTTTCTCCTAAAATGATTTTTAGCCGGCAAATCGAAAACAAAATATACAGCATCCGCCCAGGTTCCAAAGTGCAGCGATAAGAAAATAACATTAAAATCATTTATTGCATAATCTCGAAATTTCAGGTTCCCAGAGTTCGCAACATAAATAGAAAACTTGTCGCGTTTACTTATATCATCGCTGAGTTTGGGGTGGCTCCCAAACGAAACATACACACGTATTTTCGTATATTTCAGCAAGTCTGCCCGGCGATGCCCTGATACAACCTTCCCACGACCTTGAGCTTACACAATTGTAATTCATCTATGCACACAATTTTATTTTCTAATTAGCTGGCTTTTCATTACAGTAGCAGAGCGATACTTTATTTAACAACAATAAATATATTTGTGATGCTATGGATACTTGTATTTAAATGTTTGCAATGATTCTGGTAACTTTAGGAGCCAACCAAAAAAGCATAATAATTTGCGCATAGTGCAGAATTCCCGGGGCGCATACAGGTTATGCAACAGTGATGCCCGATCAACTTTTGGTCCCCGGGTTTGTACGTCAACGGCATTTAATCCTTGCTCTGCATGTACTTGATCAGGTCGATGACACGGTTGGAGTAACCGAACTCGTTGTCGTACCATGAGATGAGCTTGACGAACTTGTCGTTCAGCGAAATGCCAGCCTTGGCGTCGAAGACCGACGAGTGGGTGTCGCTGAGGAAGTCGGTGGAGACGACCTCCTCGTCGGTGTAGCCGAGGATTCCCTTCAGGGGTCCCTTGGAAGCCTCCTCGACCTTAGCCTTGATCTCGTCGTAGCTAGCTCCCTTGCCCAGGCGGACAGTCAGATCCACGACGGACACATTGGGAGTGGGCACGCGGAAGGCCATGCCGGTCAGCTTGCCGTTCAGGGCTGGGATGACCTTGCCGACAGCCTTAGCGGCTCCGGTGGCGGCCGGGATGATGTTCTGGGCGGCGCCACGGCCGTCGCGCCACAGCTTGCCCGAGGGTCCGTCCACGGTCTTCTGGGTGGCAGTGGTGGCGTGCACGGTGGTCATCAGACCCTCGACGATCTCGAAGTTGTCGTTGATGACCTTGGCCAGGGGAGCCAGGCAGTTGGTGGTGCAGGAGGCGTTCGAGACCACCTTCATGTCGGGGCTGTAGGCATCCAGGTTCACGCCGCACACGAACATGGGCGCATCGGCGGAGGGGGCCGAGATGATGACCTTCTTGGCACCGCCCTTCAAGTGGGTGGAAGCCTTGTCGATGGTGGTGAACACTCCGGTGGACTCCACCACGTACTCGGCACCGGCGCTGGCCCAGTTGATGTTGGCCGGGTCGCGCTCGCTGAACACGGTGATCTTCTGGCCATTCACCACCAGGAAGCCGCCCTCAGCCGCAACGGTGCCCTTGAAACGACCGTGAGTCGAGTCGAATTTGAACAGATAGACCATGTAGTTGACATCGATGAAGGGATCGTTCACGGCAACCACGTTGGCTCCCTTTTCGATGGCGGCACGGAGCACCAGACGGCCAATGCGGCCAAATCCGTTAATTCCGATTTTCGACATGGTTAAATTTCTGTCTTATTTTCTTCTCACTTTTACTCTCGTTCAGTTTCAGCTCGCTATTACGACTGACACTTTTTCAGGAGCTTTTTTTGCAAACGGGTGGGTGAGTGGGTGTGTGTGGGATTGGCTATGTATTTTGCCGGCGCGCTGCAAGGGTCACACTCAGTATTCTAAATACATCGATTAAAAAAAGCTTTTGAAGAGATAACGGAAGGAAACTGAAAAAAACAAAAGTTAAAGAATTCAAATATATATCCACTTCCATAATTAGGCTTTAATTGTAAACTTGGCTTTGTATTTAAAAAAAGTGTAATAGTTTTCAAAAAGTATTAATGGGGATTTAAAAGCATTTGAGCAAAACCCATGAATTTATTTTTATTTATTTAAAAACAAAGTTCAGTAAACATTAAAACGTAAAGCTTTCCACAACAGAACAAAATGTATACTGTTAAGTTATAAAAACATTTAAGCTTAGCTTGTGTAAAATAATTAAGGCATTTATCTAGCCGCAAAGTGATTATTAGTTTTAAATATATTTCAGAATTTGTTTTTTTTTGAAGTCTTGATGTCGATATGTTTGATGTCTGATTATAAGTCAATATATCGATGGCATATTCGATTTCATTTCCCTCTGAATGGTCACTCTGTTTTGAAATTAAATTGAATCTTCCGCGAATTTGTTTATCTTTATCAATGTTCTTACGGAATGGCAGGAAAAGAAGAGGGAATCGATGGCGTTTACTCCGTGCGCCTGGTGATCGCGGACTTCTACATGGAAAAGCCGCAGTTCGGCCTGGATCCTTGCTATTCGGAGTTGCGCGGTAAGGAGATCAATCGGGTGAGCACTCTTTAATTTCACCATTGCCGGTAAACTAGGTAAACAATTTTGTGTCCCATCAGGTTCCAGTGATTCGGATTTTCGGTGGCAATTCTCGCGGACAAAAGACTTGCATGCATGTACACGGCGTGTTTCCGTACTTCTACATTCCGTACGACAAAAAGGACTTTGAATCGCTGGATAGAGGCATCCTGCAGATCGCCATGCACCTGGACAAGGCCATCAATATATCTCTGGGCCAGGGAGGTTCCAATTCACAGCATGTGTTTAAAATCCAGCTGGTCAAGGGAATGTAAATATTGTCCTATATTCCGTTTGATTGGCTTTCTGGAGGAGTTGCATTTGTACTTTTAGACCTTTCTATGGCTACCATCGCGTGGAGCATCAGTTCCTTAAAATATATATGTTCAATCCGCGCTTCGTGCGACGCGCCGCCAATCTCCTTCAGAGCGCCGCCATCCTGAGCAAGAACTTCAGTCCGCACGAATCGCATGTGCCCTACATTCTGCAGTTCATGATCGACTACAATCTGTACGGAATGAGCTACTTGCATGTGCCGCTGGAGGTGCTTAAGTTCCGGCGCAGTCACGAAGATGACGGCAAGTTGGCTACTTAGCCTCTTTAAGTATCTGTCTAACCTTTTATTTTAGAAATCCCCTATGCGAATATCAAGCCCGCTCAACTGCTAGACACCATAAGCGTAAAGAAAGTATCATGCAGCGCACTAGAGGTGGATGTCAGCTCCAACTTCATACTGAATCGCTTCCAGTTGGTGACCAAGAGCAAGGGCAATCACACCAATCCGGGCATCGAAGCCATATGGAATGATGAGAACTTGCGTCGACAGAAACTGGTGGAAAAACACAACACTGCTGGCGATGAGGAGAAGGCCCAAGCGGTAAATCGGTTATCCCTGCAAATATTATTCCATTGATTAAACTTCGAGCTTTGTATTAAACTCAGGTGCCAGTTTTGCAATTGCCGCCAACGCAGGAGCGTTCCCAAATAGAAATCGCCGAAAGTGATGTCTTCTACCGCACCGCCTTGGAAAGCAAATTAATGACCCTGGAGCAGTCTTCATTGTCAGAGCAAACGCTGTCGGATCAGACGACCATTGCTAATGTCACCATGCAGACCACTTTGCCCAGCAGCAAGGAGCAAAGACGCACTTTTAATTTGCAAAAACTCCTTGCCAATGCTGTTTATCCTGAGGAATGCTCACAGGATCAACAGCAACAATTGGTTAATGCTTCCTTTATTCAGAACCATGTGGCCTGCAACAACACGAGCAATATTAGTCTACCAGTTCAGAAAGATGAGACAGAGTTCATGGACGGAACCTTGGTGGACGAGGAGTTAATCCTTAGCCTCACACAGCCTCAAGGAGCGATGCCTCACGATGCTACCTGTGGGTAAAAAGTTTATCAACACAAAACTCTTTTTGTATACGTAACGCTATTGTTTTCTGCAGTGAGGGAGGAAGATTTGGAACTATTAGATGCCTTGCAGCAGCTGGAGGAACAAAATGAAAGTGAGACCCATGTTGATTTGGATAGCTCATTGGCACCTTTGTCGCAGCAGCACAAAAGTTGTAGGTGTACTCCAACACACACTTATAACATACAACTAGGATAATATCAATGCGTTTTTTCAGTTGAATTGACTCCCGAGCTGTTGGATAAACAGACAGCAGCTGCTGCTGTTGGGTCGCATGCGCTGTCTGACGAGGATTCCGACTCCGACGAGGATGCGGGCCAGGGCAACCGACATGACTTCTCCACTGTGCTGGATGATATCGATGAATTGCTGCTCAAGTTGACTCAAAGCCAGCCAGGAATTATGGAGTCCGAAAAACTTGATCCTTTAAAGAAACTGCCTCAAATCGATGGAGCTGATGATCGTTTACAGCGGACTCCCAAGAAATTGAGTAACGACAAGTCGAAGACAAGTCCTCCAAGGACTCCCACTACTCCAAAAGGTCAAGCAAGACTGTTAAAGTCGCCACGCACTCCGAAAACCAGCGCGGCCAAGAAATATGCCCCATTGCCTTTGACAATTGGAAGTAATTCAGCAAAGAGTCAGTTAAAGTGATAGTAGACTAGTAGGGTTTTCAATGTTTTCTTATTAATTTCAGAAAACCCTGCAGTAGTTGCAGAAAGATCCCTCAATCCTCGGCTAAGTTTGCAGCTTGATCAAGGAACAGGAACTCATGGAACACCAGGGTAATTCAAGATATAATTTAATTCAATCGTATTTTAAATTTAGTAGTTTTTATTTTTAGCCCAGAATTATCATTGCGAAAGAAACTGGCCATGACGGAACTGCGTCGAAAAAGTGTTGATGAATCGAACAGCTTTATCTGTTTAAAGAATGAGTATGATTACTTATATTCTAAAGTTTGTATTTCATCTTACAAAAAGAATTATTTCTTTAAAGTAGTACTCCCGTGCGGAAAACTAGGCGATCAATGCGCAATCTGGACAAGACGCATGTTATTTGCTCCCTGACCCCACGAGACAAGAATCCCGGATTTTCTGACATGTTCGAAACAGCGGATGGCGAGGAAATATCTAAAGTGGAAGAGATAAAAAAACCGCGAAGAAGTGGCCGTCACAAGGATAAGGATTGTCCAGACAGGGAAGCACCTCGCATATCGGAGGACATTGCGTTGGATAATGTAAAACCAAGACGAAGTACCCGTAATCAGAAAAGCTTGAAAAACGCCGAAGAGAACTTTAGTGATCTTCAAGAAACAACACCACGCAGAAGTATTTTATGTCGCTCTAAAGTTTCTCAGAAATTGAGACTTGAAAATAACGCAGAGGTTCAACCAAATCCATGCCAAGTAGAAAGTGTGCAACAGAAGGTAAATAACGCTAGTCAAACTCGAAAAGTAAATACGGGAAAAAATAGAAAGTTAGAGGATTCAGAAGACAGTCCCGTGCAAAAACAAACAAACATTGTAAAGCAGTCAAAAGATCTTAAAAAAGGGGATGAGAAGATTGCAAATGAAATAAATTCAGCAGAAATGTTCATGCATGACTCTTTAGGAAACTTACCTGTCCATGAATATGACAAACTACTTTCCAAGAAACCGACTGGAAATCAGTCTGCAGATCAATCAAATTCTGAAAAGAAATTAAATGGAGTAGTTAAAACAACCTTTACTGTAGATAAAAACCAACCTTCCAAGGAATCGACTGCAATTCCTTCTGCAGATGAAGTAACTCCCGATGATAACGAGCAACGCGTTCCAAGCGAAGATGAGGCCATAGAGTCCGACACAGAATCAGATAATATGGTCACCAAACTACGGAAAACTCCTAATTTGAGGCGATTGCGAAGGAGTTTTCGTTCGGAGCTGCTAAACAAACAACTAACTCCGAGTTCAAGCAAAGCACCACCTGATATTCAGACCACTCCTCTCTTGAGCCCCAAAAGCAATGAAAGCCAAACTCCAGAGCTAATGAAAAGCTTCTACGAGCACTCACTTATTGTGAATAGTCCATCGGTCTTTAGTGACATGCTGGATAGCCCCATGCCGGCCATGGAGTCTCCTGTTCCTCCGCCTCCACTTTCCACCGATAATTCCTTTGTGATTGCCCCCTTGGAGCTCCCGCCATCCTACGATGAAGTGGTTCGCGGTTGCCGCAAAATGGACATACCCGAGTATGAGTTTCAGCAGCCTTTCTACAGTAAACCCGCCGATGTGAGCAAGGTGACTGAGGTGGGCTTCATAGTGCTTCACATCCCGGGAAACAAGCTAAACGACTGCGAGCCTTTCCAAAGCGTACTGGGCAACGACATAGGGTTGTCCGCTTGGCGGCGTCAGCAGCTGATTGCCATCGGTGGACCGGCAATGTTGCAGCGACATCGAGGCGAGCAAAGGGTGCGAGAGTACTTCAGCAGTGGACAGAGAGTAGCAATCAAACCCGCTCAGCTCGCACCCTCCCGGCAAGAGGCCAAGATCTGGTTGAAGGCCAAGGAACTGCTCCGCCAGCGGGAGGAACCGACTAAGTCAAACGACGACATAGACAGCCCCATCAAGATCAAGCGCCAGAAGGTCACCATGATGCTGCAGGCAGAAGGAGGCGATGCTGCGAGTGGCGACGAAGATGCTGGCGAAGACTTCGAGTGCAGTCTCAGCCTCACGCCAATGTCCCAGGCGAAGGATAAAGCTAAGGGAACCCCTATTAGTAGCAAAGGGAAAGGAACGACAAAGAGTTCCGTTAGAAAGGGAACTAAGTTGAACTTCAAAGAATCCCAGGAGGAGGAACCAATTAGCTCCCAGTCTAGCGAACAAAGCGTTTCCAGTAGCGCTGCCCGCGCAGTGCTTGAGCGGAGCTCTTTTCTGCGCCAGCTGGAGGGAGGTAGCCAGGAGCAGCAGCACGATCTCAGTTTTGGACTCAGCCATGCCACATTGGACAATACGTTCGGGTTCAAGGTTAACTTGGAGAACCTGCAGCAGGCTAAGGCGGACATTGATTGCAACCACCTGACCATAATGACATTGGAGGTTTTTGTGTCCACGCGAGGTGAACTCGAACCGGACCCTATGTTTGATGAGATTCGCTGTTTGTTCTACGCCATCGAGCACAGCTTGCCGGATGAGAATCTGCCGAGCAAAGCCTGCGGATACATAATGGTAAATAATGCCCAGGACTTGCTTAGAGAAGGGACTATCCATGGCCTGGATCGGGATATTGAGGTGCAAGTGGTGGCTAGTGAAGCGGAGGCATTTGAGGCTTTGCTGGTCTTGTGTAGTCGCTGGGATGCGGATATCTATGCCGGCTACGAGATCGAGATGTCCTCCTGGGGCTTTGTGATCGATCGAGCCAAGCATCTGTGCTTCAACATCGCTCCTCTGCTGTCGCGAGTTCCAACACAGAAGGTGCGGGACTTTGTGGACGAGGATCGGGAACAGTTCACTGATTTGGACGTGGAGATGAAACTATGTGGTCGCATTCTGCTCGACGTGTGGCGTCTTATGCGCTCGGAGATCGCCTTGACTTCATACACCTTCGAGAACGTGATGTACCATATTCTGCACAAGAGATGTCCTCGGCACACTCCGAAGTCACTCAGCGAATGGTTCGCGTCGCCTTGCACCCGGTGGATAGTGATGGAGTACTTCTTAGAGCGGGTGCGGGGCACCTTGGCTCTCCTGGATCAGCTGGACCTGCTGGGAAGAACAAGCGAAATGGCCAAGCTCATTGGCATCCAATTCTACGAAGTGTTGTCGCGTGGCTCGCAGTTTCGCGTTGAGAGCATGATGCTGAGGTAAGTGTAACCGTTTAGAAGACCTTTATCCAGTGGACTAATGACCTAGTTTTGTAGAATTGCCAAGCCCAAGAACCTGGTGCCACTTTCGCCCAGCGTCCAAGCCCGAGCTCATATGCGTGCTCCCGAGTACTTGGCGCTCATTATGGAACCGCAGTCGCGCTTCTACGCCGATCCGCTGATCGTCCTCGACTTCCAGAGCTTGTACCCCAGCATGATCATCGCCTACAACTACTGTTTCTCCACCTGCTTGGGTAGAGTGGAGCACCTGGGCGGGAATTCACCCTTCGAGTTTGGTGCTTCGCAGCTGCGGGTTTCTAGAAAAATGTTGCAGAAGCTTTTGGAGCACGACCTAGTCACAGTTTCACCTTGCGGGGTGGTGTTTGTAAAGCGCGATGTGCGCGAGGGCATCCTGCCACGGATGCTCACCGAGATCCTGGACACTCGACAAATGGTCAAGCAATCGATGAAGCTGCACAAGGATAGCTCTGCACTGCAACGGATTTTGCACTCCAGACAATTGGGTCTGAAACTGATGGCCAATGTCACCTATGGCTACACGGCAGCCAACTTCAGTGGCAGGATGCCTGCGGTGGAAGTGGGTGACACGGTGGTGTCCAAAGGTCGGGAAACTCTGGAGCGGGCCATTAAACTGGTGGAGGCCAACGAGGAGTGGAAGGTGCGTGTCGTCTACGGCGATACGGACTCTATGTTTGTGCTTGTGCCGGGTAGAAATCGAGCCGAAGCCTTTCGCATTGGGGAGGAGATTGCCCAAGCCGTCACCGAGATAAATCCGCACCCAGTGAAGCTGAAGCTGGAGAAGGTGTACCAACCGTGCATGCTGCAGACCAAGAAGCGCTACGTGGGCTACATGTATGAAACAGCCGATCAAGAACAGCCCGTCTACGAGGCCAAGGGAATTGAGACAGTGCGCCGCGATGGCTGTCCTGCGGTGGCCAAAATGCTGGAGAAGGTGTTGCGGCTCCTTTTTGAGACGCAGGACGTCAGCCAGATCAAGCAGTACGTGTGCCGGCAGTTCACCAAGCTGCTCTCGGGAAAGGCCAATCTGCAGGATCTGATCTTTGCCAAGGAGTTCAGAGGACTTAATGGTTACAAACCAACGGCCTGTGTGCCAGCACTGGAACTTACACGGTAACCTAACAGTCTTCTTCCGTTTCCAACTCTAAGGTTTATATTATTTATTCGTAGAAAATGGATGCAGAAGGATCCACGACATGTGCCGCGCCGCGGTGAACGAGTGCCTTTTATAATAGTAAACGGACCGCCGGGCATGCAGCTCATCCGCCTGGTTCGCAGCCCACACGACATCCTGGCCAACGAGGGCCACAAGATCAACGCCATCTACTACATCACCAAGGCGATTATCCCACCGCTGAACCGCTGCCTGCTGCTCATCGGGGCCAATGTGCACGATTGGTTCGCTGGTCTGCCACGGAAGTTGCTAGTGACCCCGGCGGTGGGAACGGCCAACGAATTGGCCGGAGCAAGGGGCGCCAAGTCCACCATCTCACAGTATTTCTCCACCACCAACTGTGTAATCGACTGTGGCCGGCAAACTAAGGCTGGCATTTGTCCCGATTGTCTTAAGAAGCCAACCAAATGTGTAATTGTGCTCTCGGATAAGACAGCGCGTTTGGAGAGGCGCTACCAGCTCACGCGACAGATCTGCCAAGCGTGTTGCGGACGACTGGGTGGCATCCAGTGCAATTCCCTCGACTGTCCTGTACTTTATGTCTTGGAGGGGAAGCGGCGGGAACTCCAGCAAATTGAACACTTTCAAAAGCTGCTGGACGATCACTTCTAAAGCCAATATACGGAAATTCTCATTCATAAGGGATGTATATATATTTTAACTTTCAGCTCGCTTATTAAGTTAAAATTATATTCATTGCTTCAGCCAGTGGTTCTAAACATGCACATAGCTTATACACTACTTATACTTTTGGGTGATTCGTTTGTGTGTATAATACTAGAGGAATTGTTAACTATTGATATTGTTTAAGTTTATCGTGTTGTGATTGTTTTGTGAGCCATGAGCATGCTGCCAATAAATGAATGTTATAATGTTTACTTAAAACTTATAGTTTGCAAACTTGTAAGACAACAACTGGGTCTCGCAATATGAATGAACATGGTTATTTTTAATCTATATTAGGTTTTCAGTTCAGCGTAGGATTTAATCTTTCGTTTTAACAATTTCAATGAATAACCGAATTAAATAACAATTAGTCGATGATTTAATGAATATTTTGATTTCTGTTTAGCCCTGATTCTTGTTGCCTAAATACAATTTTTGTTTATATTTCCAATTGAGCGGATTGCTTGGGTACCAAACAAGTTAGAGTATAAATATTAGAAAAAAATCGTAGCGGTACAATACGTAAGCAGCATTTAAAAATCTTGAAAACATGCCTCTAAAACACTCAAAAAATATTTATATATTTCTGGTTTAAATAATATCATCCTCATCATCCATTTCAAACATCAAGGCGTTCTTGGCATCTGGCTCGTTGTTTCTGCCGTGAGTTCCAGCTGTTCCAGAGAGATCCAGTCCGCTGTCGTGGAGAAGGGCCTCGCTCTTTGGCTTACTGCCACTCTTTGATTGATTTCCTTGTTGCTGAAAATAAAATTATTGTATTAAGATTGGTTTTTGAATCGCAATATTCAAATTTAAAATTCATCCGAGCTGGTATTATTTTTGAGATTTTGTTTGGCTGAGTTCTAAGTACGCGAACTCAAATTTTAATGCCCTCTGCAAGTCTATCCAATGTATATTTGTAACCTTACTCCAAAGTTGAATAAATTTCGCGTTACTGTTGGACAAATGCAATAAAAATAAATATTTACATTGAAACCAAACATTAAAACAAGCTGCTTGAAAATCTGATACGTTTCCTGCCTTGTTTGCTTTCTACAAATGCATAAATTTCCACAACTTTCCGATTTTTTTTCAGCTGCATATCAATTAACATACCCTTATCAAATTTCGCAAAATTCCTTCCATAAATAGAGTTCACCCCAAATCTATTTAGCTTTCAGAAACGTGCAATACAATTCCCTAAACAAAGACTTGGCCAATATTTATGTCTGGCGTGAAGCAAATCGAGCCAAACTGCCTGATTTCGCTGATAGCTACTAATTCAATTAACAGGCTAACAACCTAACAGCCACCAAATAAGCGGGATATTCGCTCAATTATGGAGACCAGTAAAATCTTGATATATAGATCTGGATCTGGATCGGCCATTCCCAGCTCACCTTGAGGGCAGTGCCACGGGTCTCCTCGTAATCAACGGAATCACCTTCGCTGAGGCGACGCTGCTGTGCCCGCAGCTTGAGATCGCGTCGCTTCTGGTTCTTCTTTCGCTGACCCAGGATGCTTGAGTCAAGTCTGCCGAATGAGTAGATTAAATTACTGCCAATTTCTAGGGGTTATTTATGGTACTTACCGGAACACTTGCTTCATGATGTGATCATTAAACCTAACAGTCTTTTTGCAGCTCTCCGAGAGCCCGGCGTCGGACCGATCTTCCTCGGGAATGCCGCCAAATGAGTGCGAGAACAGCGAGGTTCCTGATGCGTCGACGGAGCACGAATACGAGGAGCAGTCGTCGATGGAGGAGCAGCTGTCCGACATCGAAGGTCGCGGTCCATAGCGACTGAATCGCTTGAGGATACCGCGATGTGAGCCACCGCTGCTGTCGTTGCACTCCGAGTAGCTGCGTTGCTTGCGCTGCGGAGGCAGCTTAAACGTGGCCTTAAGCTGGGGTTCGGGTTTTCCATTAAGTGGCTCCGGGACGAGAACGTCCTCGCAGGCCGACTCGGAGAGGGAGCGCTCCTTCTTGTTTCGCTTGCGTTGCTTCTTGCCAGGCTTCTTGTTCTGAGCTTGGGGCTGCACAGTTTCGTGTTCCTGCTCCTGCTGCTCCTCGTCCTCTGCCTCTTCCTCCTTTGGCACTGGGCGAATGGTCACCTTCAAGGCCTTACCCTCTTCGTTGTGCTCGAATTTAACATCCAGGGGATCATGCTCCTTCTTGGCATTAACTCTCCCTTTGCTTTTCACATTGTACTGCCCATGAACTGGGTACTCCTTGAGATCCGTGGCATCCAGACCGGCCAAATAGCTAGCCGGAGTCCCGCTCTGCGAGCTCAGGCACAGCTTGAGTACCACGTTGTTGTCCCAGGCCTCCGCCTCAACGCTTTCGATGGCCGAATCTTCCTCCTCAGCCGGCAGTTCTACGTAAAAAGCATAGTGGGTGGGATAGTAGCCACTGCCGATGGTGGCGAACTGCAGATGCAGGCTCCGCTGCTCCTTCAACTGCTCTATGGAATCCGGCTGAACATTGGGCACGTGCAGCACAAAGGCCATCACATTGTCCAGAACGTTGCAGTCGAACTTGTTGGGCAGTTGGTAGTGCACGGAGCTCTTAAGGAACGGACTGTTGGCATTGCGCACGGGTGTGGCAGTGGGCGTGGCTGGGGAAGAACGCAAAAAATAATAACGGATTAAACGGTGTAAATACAATACGTACAAAGTCATTCTTAATTATACCCTTGCAAAGCAAAGGGTATTATAATTTTAGTCAGAAGTTTGCAACGCAGTGAAGGAGACACCTCAGACCCCATAAAGTATATATATTCTTGATCAGCATCACGATCAGAATCAGTTTTAAAGCTATCTTGCTATAACTTTCCCTAATTTCTTATTTAAAATTATATCGAAATCGGATAACTCTATCATATAGCTGCCATAGAAAAGATCGAAAAATATACATATACATATATAAATATTGGAAAAAAAAAGTTCTAACGACTCTTGAATTATGAATTAAATTTCATAAAAATCGGACGACTATATTATATAGCTGCCATATGAACAATTGTCGAAAATATGAAAAATTAATAAAAAATCGTCATAGCTTCGATGTTGTTTAGCTTTTATATACATATAGGGTCTAAAAGCTTTAGCTTGCCGAAGCTAGCTTCCTTTCTTGTTTTTTGTATAATATTGGAATTATTAGTGCACATTTCAAACACATATTCTACGCAACTTAGCTAAAATTTGATTTTAAAGTTGGACTTTTATAAAACTGAAGAAGTTTCCTAAAATTAATGTTAGAGTATATCATATTTTTATATAGATATTATAAAACTGAAGATTCCTAAAATTAATGTAAGTGTATATCATATTTTATTGAGTTTTTTTTGTACTAGTTCCCCATTTAATTAAATCTTTTAAATATATTTTAAGAGATGCTGATCAGAAAAAATAAATCCTTAGTAACTACAATGACTACAATACCTCTGAAGGTACTTTCCACGCGCTGGCGTGTTTATATTGCAATTCCATTACGTATTCCCTACTCCTACTCACCAGTCTCAGAGGTGTCCGCCTTGGAATCGCTGAGCTCGCCATCCGGATCCTCCTCCACGGGTGACTCACTGTTGGAATGCAACTCCACGCCGCTGTCCTCTCGACTGAAGTGGCGCAAGGTTTCATGCATCTGGGCCTGCTCCCGTCCGCCCTTCCGGACCACTGGCAACGTTATGCTTAAGCGACGCAAATCTGTGTCGAAACGAGCACTACCCGCCTTGTCGTCCACGACGAAGGGGAGATCCAACTTCAGGCGGTATTTGGCACCAGCGCGCTCGCTGAACAGATAGACGGTCTTCGGGGTGACATCCAGTTGACATTCGGCAGTGGATCGAAGCAGCGGTAGCTCGATCTCGACGACCAGGGAACGGGGAACGGTCACATGCAACTTGGCGTCCAGCTCGTCCGTGTACTCTGACAAGTCCACGTCATGGCTGTGCTTGATTGAGTACCTGGGCACCGTGAATTCCGGCACTGGTGTGGGTTTCGCCTTCATGGGCAGGACGCGGGGCTCCACTTTTTCGGCGGCTGGCTTCTTTGTGGGGAACATATCCGCCAGGGGATGCGGCTCCTGCTGCTCTGCCGTCGGATTGTCAGCCAGCTTGCGTATCACAGTAGGACGGGCGATGCCCTTGTAGTCAAGCTTGGGGAATTTGAGGTTGGTTCGATCCAAAGAGACCTGGTACTCGCGCTCGACAGCATCCAGTGCCGTGTCGATGAGGCACTTGCGGAACTGTTTGTTCCGATTGGCCAGGTGCAGAGCGTCCGGATGAAAGACCACGTCAAACACCTTGCAGTGGTTCTTCCTGGCATCGCAGTCATCCCGCGCAGAAGTCTGCGCCATGGGAATGGACCAGGTCAGGCCGCGATTTCCGTTCGACGGATCCATGGCTACCTCGTTCTTGGGACGCTCGATCTCAGGAGAGCCGGCGATGTTGATGAAGCACTTGAGCTCGCCATCAAGAGCAGTCTTGATCACGAATCCCGGCTGGGGATGGATGAACTTCACCTCCACACCGCGCTCCTTCTCCAGCTGGGTGATCTCCTCCTCGTAGATCTTTCGGTTTTCGGGGTCCTGAACCTCCTCGACGTACTCAAAGAATAACTTACGAAACTCCTCGTTGGTGAGGGCCTCCCGGATCCGATTTAACTCGTCCTTGCTTATGTCGAGCTGCTCATTATCACGGATCTTGGAGTGTTTATTACGCGAACTGGCAGCAGATGCGGACATAGCGCTCTCACAGGGACACTGCACTCGCGGCGAGATCTCTTCGGGTCTCTTCTCGGCACTTTTACTACACAATTAACCGTTTCTGTTATCTCTTTTGGGGGTTTAGTTTTTTGTTTTTATTTTGTTTTGTTTTTGGTTGCTTAGTTTTTGGACTCGTTGCCTTAGAAAATGTGTTTGTTTTCTGAAAGGTTCTGGGAAAAGAAATTGGTAAAACGGGTGTGAGATTAACATGAAAAATATCAATTTTATCTGCTGAACTGTAAGACAACAAGATAGCTTTAAAACTGAGAGACTAGTTTACATAGAAACCGACAGGAGGACAGACGGTCAGACGTATGTACATACGTATTTCGATTCAGATCGTGATGCTGATCAAGAATATATGTATATACTTTATGGGGTCTGAAATGTCTGAAATTATAATACCCTTTGCTCTGCAAGGGTATAAAAATAGGTATAAATCTTAAAGCTTTTTGTAAAATTTTCTTTGGGCATTTTGAAATTGTAATTAAATACCAGTAATTGACATAACTTTTTTTATTGATGGAAGAAAAACGTTTAGGGTATTATTTTAATTGAGACTTACGAAACCCGATGAAAGTTCTATAAAAACTTTCCAATCAAATCCGTGATAATAGAACTATGTATATACCTAATCACCAAGGTTGCCCTAGGTCCTGAGTAATTCGTAACCAAATACCCAAATCGCGAAATTCTAATCAGTCGTTAAGCAAGTAAATATTTAACCAATGACGCAGTAAGGTCGTTGCCAAAAATTACCGGCTTTTCAACGTATTATTGGCATTATATAAGTGAGAACAAACTGACCACGCGCTATTTTATTTGTCGGCCAATAAATAAACGAACTGCGTAGTTTCTAAAAATTCTAGGAGACGCGTTTTACGTACTTTTTTTTTATTTTGTTTGTGCTTTTGGGTGCGATGCTTTGCCGACGAGCGTGTTTTAAAGAATGAGAGCGATACGCCCGAAACGCCGGCAAATATTGTAGGGTCTTCAGAGCGCAAGAGAGCGGTATCTGCGCAGAGAGGGGTTCTTGATAAGCGCGAAAAAACCACTTGCCCCCAATTGTTTTTGTTTAGCGAGATTCTTCCCCAACCCGCCCATTTCCTCAGCCCCCTACACATTATGCGATTTCTGGCGCAACCCAACTAATTGTACAATAAACTGCCATATCTTTACATTCATACACACATGCAATGATAATAATTGTAATGTTTACCGACTGTGGAACTGTATATACACCTACACATTGTGGGCGGTAAATAGGGATCCATATAATATAAACCGTGTGTATCTCTGGGTCGCCGAGGAAAACGAGGAAAATTATAACAGTTACGTGACCGAACACATGTTTGCGGGTCGGGGAGGGGAAAACTCTATTTGATCAATACAAACTTATACTAATTGATTTTCTGTACAAACCGGTCATTGTAAGGCCAAGACCCTTGTCTAAATACATGGTAAAAGGTATTACACGGGATTTAATTAGTTTGTAGTTTTTATTGGACCTTTCTATTGTAGGTGCCATGTAGGACAACAACTTACATGCCCCCTGTAAAACACTTCGAAATCTTAAGGCTCCTTAATAAAACCTTCACTCACCTTTATTATAAGATTGTTCACTTGCTTTGTTGCAGCGACACTAAGTTGATTGTTTATTAAATTATTTAGCTGCTGTTTGTTAGATTTTTAATGGAGTTTTGGGTTTGACGTTCTAGAAACTTTTCCGCTGGACCGGCTGCTCGTGTTTGTGTGTGTGTGTTCAATGCTTTGGTATATTTTCAAAGTAAATTTCGAGGATTTATACTTACAGTATTTTTGGTAAGTGTTGTGAGCTCTTTTTGAAACTGGCTTCGGTCACACTGTTCTCTAGAAATGGAATAATGGAGTCCAATTTATTTTTAGTTCTTCTTTTGTCGTTTTCAATATACAATAATGCAAAAGGTGGGCTTTTTTAAGTGATAATCAATTATTGAGTATTTCAAGAAGAACGTGCACTTAAGAAACCTAGAATATATGGAATTTAAAAACGCGAATAAAGTGAATGAAAAGTGGCAGACTGTTTTGGAAAGCCCTGATTTGTTTTCATATGCTGCGGTTCTGGCCAATTGTGCTGCGTATTTAGCAGGGCTAAATGTGAAAACATCTTCTCGGGGTGATATTATGTGAAAACCCCACAATGAGGTGCACATAAGACGCATTATATAAACGGATGTAGTGGGCGTTTGCAGCATAAGTGCATTTTCTTAATGATTTACCCACGCACACCAAAGTTCCGTGTGTGTATACAGAACTTGCTGGCGCCCCTGTGTGCGTATATTTGTGTATGTGTGGTGGGGCCTTGCATGTATGTACGTATATTTCAATGTGTGTTGTTTTTCAGCTGAAATCAGCGATCATTTACTGGAGGACATTCAGGATATAGACATGGAGTCCTCCTCCCATCTCAATGGAAAAGAGTTTCCGGCCGTGCCGCAGAACTCGGTGCAGACGCATCCCAGGTGATTAATTTTAAATCCTAAGTCGTAGCCTCTTTCCCTGCCGTTCTCCAAAAGTCGCTATATTGCTAACTTATATTACCACTCATTTATCATGCTGCTAATCCTTAATTAGGAGACATATTAAGAGTAAGCGCCGAATGAAAAGAAGGTAACATCAACACTTGAAAGAATGCAAAAGTATATTGTGTGATACTGAAATTAATACAAATTATTTGTCGGATTATCAACATTTTAATATAACATTTTTAAATCATGCTTAAGGCTTTTCACACTGATTAACATGCAACTGTGAAAAGCAATAATATGTCTTCTTTATTTATTTTATTGTGAACAGATACAAATGCTATTCGTGCGAACCGCCCTGCCTTGATCCTTACGAGTTTTCTCACACCTGCCAGAATGCTATACAGGTAAGTAATTCCTTTTAAACTCCTTAGAATTGATTACTAAACTGGTATTTCAAATCCAACAGTGCTGGAAGTCGCGCACTCGCGATGCCAATGGGCAGGAGCACGTCTCCCGCGGCTGTAGCACCTCGCCGGACCAACTGCCACTAATCTGCAGCCAGAACTCGCTAAAGCTCAATGCACCCAGCAAACGCAACACAGCTAAGTTCGTTAATGTGGAGTGCTGTGCCGGCGACTACTGCAACAGCGGAGAGTTTCCTGAACTGCTGCCCTTCGCCAACAATGATGTGACAGTTATAACGGCGGATACCAGTAGCATAAGCAAGATGTCGGCCGCTATTCTAGGTCCTTTCCTGGTCATTACGATGCTGGGCGCTGTGGCCATCTTTTTCATCCGCCGCAGCCATCGCAAACGCCTGGCTGCCTCGCGCACAAAACAGGATCCAGAGGCGTATTTGGTCAATGACGAGCTGCTCCGCGCCACTAGCGCTGGTGACAGCACGCTAAGGGAGTATCTCCAGCACTCTGTAACCTCCGGCTCGGGCAGCGGACTGCCCCTCCTGGTGCAGCGCACCCTGGCTAAACAAGTCACCCTGATGGAGTGCATTGGACGGGGAAAGTACGGCGAGGTGTGGCGTGGTCACTGGCACGGCGAAAGCATAGCCGTAAAAATATTCTTTAGTCGCGACGAGGAGTCCTGGAAGCGGGAGACGGAGATTTACAGGTGAGATATAAATAACTTTAAAGGAATAGGAATAATATATCTGTGTTTAAAGTTGTTCTTGGTTTTTTTTTTTTCGCCGAATTCCTTAGTAAACATAATTTAATCGCTTGAGGATCTTTTTTGTAGTTTTTTAATCATTGAATAAATTTAATCTATGAATCATTAAAAACAATTATATTCTTCAGCACTATTTTGCTCCGTCATGAAAACATTCTCGGTTTCATTGGGTCCGACATGACGTCGCGCAACTCGTGCACCCAACTGTGGCTGATGACGCACTACTACCCACTTGGATCACTCTTTGATCACCTGAACCGCAACGCTCTGAGCCACAACGACATGATATGGATTTGTCTATCGATAGCAAATGGACTGGTGCACCTGCACACAGAGATTTTCGGCAAGCAAGGAAAGCCGGCCATGGCTCATCGCGATTTGAAGTCTAAAAACATACTGGTCACCGCAAACGGGTCCTGCGTCATTGCCGACTTTGGTCTAGCAGTCACCCATTCGCATGCGACGGGACAACTGGACCTGGGCAACAATCCCAAGGTGGGCACCAAGCGCTACATGGCCCCAGAAGTTCTGGATGAAAGGTGTGTGATTAATAGTAATATTTGAAAGAAATGTATTAAATTTTTTATTACTTACAGCATTAATTTGGAATGCTTCGAGGCACTGCGCCGCACGGATATCTATGCTTTTGGACTGGTCCTATGGGAAGTTTGTCGTCGCACTATTTCGTGCGGCATTGCGGAGGAGTACAAGGTGCCCTTTTACGATATGGTGCCCATGGATCCCAGCTTTGAGGACATGCGCAAAGTGGTCTGCATTGACAACTACAGACCCTCCATTCCCAATCGCTGGAGCTCAGATTCGGTTAGTAATTTTTGAGTATTGCCATCAGAGTTTTAAAAACTAATAGTATTTATTCTGCAGTTACTGGCTGGTATGTCCAAGCTCATGAAGGAGTGCTGGCACCAAAATCCCAACGTGCGCTTGCCAGCATTGCGTATCAAAAAGACTATACATAAGCTAGCTTCCGCTGACGAGAAGATTCGTCTGGACTTCGACGAGGTCTGCGTTTAGTGGTAGTAGTCGAGCCGTAGCTGTAAGCAATAGTTTAGTTTACCAACTAGCTAGCTTAAGATTCATCCATTGACATTTTTCCCTTGCATTTTCACACTATTAGTTCGTAACTGTATTATTCAGAGTTAAGCCAAGATCCCACGTGTTGAATGAAGAACTAAGCCAAGTACAAGACCCTTGACAGCTTATATATAGAATACTATATATAATATATTTACTTTATGTTTGGATTGACTTTATCGTTTCCGATCCACCGGGAACTTTGCTTGACCGGGGTGCCTTTAAAATTGCCTTAAGTTAAAGTTAGCGTCGACTTGAATATATATTCTTGGGATATCATCCTGTATAGTTATCATTTCACTATTTACCATTGTTCATCGTTCATCAAGTGCCATTTGCAATTGAGAATTGTAAACGCGTTAACTGTAAGCTCACTCTTTGAACTCTACACTAAATTCTTGACTATAGAACTTGTCCAAGCTATGATAGAACCATAAGCCTCACCACCAATTGACTAGCTGTTCTAGTTGGTTAAGCCTTATGCACTTAGTTCCCCACGCATAGAAGCATACACACCTACTTGTATATTGTACAAAATGCAAGCTATTTAAGTTTTGTATAGTCTAAACGAAATGAAATACACGAATAAGCATTAAGCATTAGGAAAACATGTCTTTTTATTAATGTCAACAGTCTTCTGTCAGCAAAAGAAAGCTTTCGTTGTTATCCTCGTCCAGAAAAAGGAGCTTGAAGATATCGTTGAAAAAGTCGGGATAATAATCGCAGGCCCGTTTGCAGTCGGGAGTCCAGTTAATCTCCAGCAACTGCGGTTCCATGACCTTCTCCTTATCGTCTTTCCATCGGAGCATAATATCAGCTGCGTATAAAGCTCGGGATTGGGCACAGGGTGCCAATCCGCAGGGCGGGTCTGCTTGGCTGGCGCACTGCAACACCACTCGCAGCATTTCACAAATCTGCTGCTCCAGCCTCGACCAACTGTTCTCCGGATACTGCTTCCGCCAGAGAGTCAGAAAGTCGTCGCACTTGACGTGATGCAGCTCCGTATCCTCCTTGTAGTTCATCACCGTGTAATGCTTCTCATAGTCATCAAACTGGTCTAATGAGAATGGGTGATTGGCAAAGCGCAGAAAAAACTTGCGATGAACATAAGCCTTAAGCGGTCTTACGCTCTTTAGTAAAATTACATAGCGAATATCAAACTTGACGAGTCCATTCAGCTCATCTCGACTGAAGAGGACTGGTCGCTCGATGTACTTTTGGGCAATTTTTGGTCCGGTGGCCGGCAGACGCACAATCTGCTTTATGTTATCTGTAATATGAGTGTCCAGGCCACGAGCCAGGTTCCACGGCTTGATGATCCAGTGGTTATCCAGTCCTTTGGCTGTCCTTGTTTGGTAATAAGCAGCAAACTCCTTGAGTTCCGTAGACAAATTATAGGTCGTGGGGAGCCAACTTGGGTACGTTTCCAGCGTAAGGCCATTGTGGTGCTCCTTGGCCGCCCGACGACCCACTATGCTGAGCAGATCCTTGATGGTGATTACATACTCAAAAGGAAACTGGTTGATGAACTTTTCAGGCGACTGGTCGGAAAGTTCCTTAAAGTTTTTAAAGTGACGAGTGAGCCACAGGACGTCCGCTTCGCTTTCGTTGCTCACTAGAATGAACTCGGGCGAAGTAAGATGCTGACGCACCACCTCGTACTCGGCATACACCTTGAGGGGATCACAACGTGACCTTGCTGGCAGTGGATCCGTGTTGTCTGTGGGATAAGTTTCAGGGAAGTGACCGCTGCTGAAATAATCAGCTGGCGGTTCCACCTGCAAAAAGCTCTCGCCCGTAAGATCGGCATCGCGCCAGGGCAAAAGAAGAGCAGCCCGCTGTGGTGCATCTTTAGCCACGTACTCAACCGCATCGCGGGTGACCTGATCTCCAGCCTCGGAGTCCCGGATCGGAAAGAGCAGGCTGTACGTAGTATGGGTGTTTAGATAGAGGAGCGGTACCAGCCGAAAATTGGGATCATCCGAGTGGTTTACTGCCGACCCGACCTCGTCCATCACATACCAGATGGGCTGCCGCTCCTCATCCGATAGTCCCTCGCTGCCGATGGAATAGGCATGGCAATACTTCCAAAGGCGTCGCAATATCTTGTCTACGCGATCCTCCAGCTCCAGATCCACGCCGGTTATAGCGGACAGCCGGTCCGTCAGCTGCGGGTGCTGTTCCAATTGCTGGCGGGCGCTGTTCAACCGGAATGTCCAGGCATGATCAACCAAATATATGGCCTGTGGATCATTCGCTTTTACGCCCTGCTCCCGAGCCACTTCTAGTGCAAAAACCGGACTAGGACTGTCGTCGTCTTCGGCGGGATTCTGCTCCTCATCCTCGTCGTAGTCGATCAACATCAACTGCAGTGCCTCGCCAGCATCGAAGGTGTCCGTAGTCAGTTTCCTGTAAAGAGCTGGCCAAAAGTGCACCGGAATCGCTGAAGATTCCAGCTGCGGCTTGTGCAGCGCTACGAATTCGTTGTACTTGTTAATGCCGTCCATGTGGAGACCGGGAAATTCAGAAAATTTCTTGGAGAACGTCCCCGTTAGAGTGACCGAATTCGCCGGGGAGGTCCAGTGATGCGTATTCTGCTTCTTCCGGGGCTCCAGCTGTGGTAAAGTTTATTTATAAGATTTTGTTCTATTTTTTTGTTTTTGTTCTTTGTTTTTGAAAATTACTTCTTTTTATTTCCCAGTTTTAATATGAAATTTTGTAAGTATCAATTGTAACGGTTTTACTTTATAATGTATACATTCCGCGGCAAAATATTTAAAAATGTATAAATTTGTTCAAATTTTTTTAATGAATTATACGCCTCAAGGCATTAAGAAACAAAAGAAAGTGTTTTGAAGTCGTTTTAGTTTTCATTGCATCGAGGTAAAATGAAAATATTATAAAACCCTTTATTGCTGGACCAAAATCTTTCCATGTTATTTTAAAATTTCTCACAAAAACGTCATCCAAATAAGTTATTTTGTACGTATATTTGTGTAAAATTAAAGTTGTCCACTTTTAGATCAGTTGAATTGTCTTCTTTAACCCTTTTTAAACCCTTTTTTCAACGCCCCTGCATTGCCCGTTAGCCAATACTACCGGCTAACAGCTGATCAGCTGATGGTGTGACCGCGCTTGGTTTGTTTTTGTGTGGCTCCGTGCAAGTGTATTTGTTAGTTGCTCTTCCCACCAGATTACCAACAACAATGAGTATTTCACCATTAGAATAGATAACATGTAATTGCGACGAAACCCGAATCAGACCTAAGCAAATCACTTTCCGCGGAGCATTAGCAGAAGTTCAAAGTCATCACAACTCGGCAGTACGAAGGGGTACAAATTAGATTTTACTTTCGTGTCAATATACATGATATTCTCGACTTTCGACGGGTACGCACGTAGCGCGCAAATGGTGGCGAAATATTTTTGTTAGAAGCCCCCCGCACACTCTTCCCGAAAAATTCAGACGTGAGACACCGGATCGAGAGCAAAATGAGCGAAACGCTGGCACTGGCGAGCGGCGGCGTGGTGGATCCGCTGCCCACTTCCGCATCCGCCTCTATTTCCAACCTGCCGCCGCCCGCAGTAGCGCAGGGATCGGGATCCAACCAGGGCATGGACCTAGAGGTAAGCAGTCCGGGTCCAGGTCCAGTTCCCCAACGTAGTAGGCCCTGGCTGCTAAAGTTACGGAAAATTCCTCACTGAGATTCCCTTTTCCGTGCCCCATTTTGCAAAAAAAAAAAAAAAAAACTGCGCAATTGACTCACAGCCGCTGGTTAAGTAATTTTCGGGTCGGAATACCTGGCATGGATCACCTAGCCAGCGGCTAGAGGTGCCCAACGAACCCACATCACTCTGTCATACTCGACCCAGCCGAAATTCACTTGTGCTTTTCACCTCTCACCTGCAGGATCCCCGGAATAAAGGATTCTTTCTCTGGAAATGGTTGTGTAACTGGACATCCAGCTCACCGACCATGCTGCGCGCCGTGGAGAAGAAGATACTGTCGTACGTGAAGCTGCCCTACAGGGGCTTCTTTGTGGATATCGGGCCGGCGGTGGGCGAGGCGGACAAGATCTGGACTATAAGCATGAACACCGAGTCCAAGGAGGTTCCCCTTGTGCTGCTTCACGGCTTGGGAGCGGGCATTGCCCTGTGGGTGATGAACCTGGACGCCTTTGCAAAGGGTCGGCCTGTCTATGCCATGGACATTCTCGGATTTGGACGCAGCTCGCGACCGCTCTTCGCCAAAGACGCGCTGGTCTGCGAGAAGCAGTTCGTGAAGTCCGTGGAGGAGTGGCGCCGCGAGATGAACATTAACGACATGATTCTGCTGGGCCATTCGATGGGCGGCTTCATCGCCTCCAGCTACGCCCTCACGTACCCGGAGCGAGTTAAACACTTAATACTGGCCGATCCCTGGGGCTTCCCCGAGAAGCCCTCGGACTCGACCAGCGGTAAACAAATACCGCTCTGGGTGCGGGCCATAGCTAGGGTCCTGACTCCGCTCAATCCTCTGTGGGCTCTGCGCGCCGCCGGTCCCTTTGGCCAGTGGGTGGTGCAAAAAACGCGGCCGGACATTATGCGCAAGTTCCAGAGCACCATTGAGGAGGACATTAACCTGCTGCCGCAATACATCCATCAGTGCAACGCCCAGAACCCGAGTGGCGAATCCGCCTTTCACACAATGATGCAGTCGTTCGGCTGGGCCAAACATCCGATGATTCACCGCATTAAGGACGTGCGTAGCGACATACCCATTACATTCATCTACGGCTCCCGCTCCTGGATCGACTCGTCTTCAGGGGAGAAGATAAAGTCGCAGCGCGGCAGCAACATGGTGGACATTAAAATCGTGACGGGCGCTGGCCACCACGTGTACGCCGACAAGCCGGACGTCTTCAACCGCTACGTGAACGAGACCTGTGATATGTACAAGGTGGCCGGTGGCAAGCTTATCACGCCCCTTCAGCTAATCCGCGAGTCCACGGAGTCCGACGAGGAGCGGGAGCCCAGCCTCAGCACAGTGAAGACGGTTGAGATTCAACCGGAGGTGGATCCGGTGCCCGAGCCTATCGCAGCCGCAGACACACCCACGCAATCGGCCGAGGAACTGGCGGCCAACGTCAAACCGAAGTGAGCAGGACCAGTGGGGCTCGCGGAGATACAAATCACAGCTCGTCTGCCAGTCTGTATCTATTAGCTTAGTGTCTTCGCCTAGTATTAAATGGTCATCTTATCCGGTCAGCTGCTATTTTTACTCTCTATCGTACAGTCCATCTTGGCTAAACGGATCTAGGCCCTAATTTATATTTTTCGAGATTTGAAGTTATACAAATACCGTTTACTAATAGCTTAAATATATATTTGTTACAAAAGCAATTTTAGTTTACAATATAGTTAGGTTGGAATTTCTTTGTGAAATTCAACATTAAAACTTACATATATGGTGCTTAAACTGAACTGGCCTTAAGAAGGCATCATTTTAAGATATTGAAATGAAAAACATATAGACAAGTAAGTAAGTATTAGTTCAACTCTATGGATTGTTCTCGAAACTAAGTACCTTTCGAGCCGTCATCATTTACTTGCGCTGATTCAGCCAGGGTACAAAGGTCACTTCAGGGGCACTATCACCGCGCATGGAGTCCCATTGATAACTTGGCCAGCCAATGGTGGGATGCGAAACTCCGCCGAAAAGCTCTCTACGAACGAAAGCGGTTTCAAACATACGTCAGACTTGACATCGATCCGGAAGAACCCACACGCGCCACTTGTTTTTAATTCTTTCGGTTTGGGTCTAAGGCTATCTCGAGGTAGCTTATAGCTGATAGGACCAGTAAAAACAATGGAAATATGTAGGTGAACACAGGAGCGGTTCTTTTTACTTAAAGTCTGTATTTATAAATAGGCTTATTGTTAGCGAATCTTAAGTATTTTTAAAAGTCAATTGGTAAGAGTATGCTTTAAAGATTTCGCAAAGCATTTAAACTCTTTGCATAATATCACATAAACCCTTTTTATTGTGTTTCTTTTGTTTGTTATATGTAGTCATTTAGCTTTAAACAGTCCGAGTAAAAAGGGTAGAGGTAAGTTGATGAAAAGTATATACATATGTACACAATAGGTAGCAGAAGGCATTTGCGACTCCATACAATATCAAAATCTGCCTGTCTGTCCATATAAACGTCAAGATCTCGAAGATTTTTAGTGCTTAAGAAGTAGATTCTTACCAAGTTTTGGCAACGTCTACAACCCGCAAAATGAAAGACACAGTTTTCCCTAATGAATTCATAGTTGAATATTAGTGACAAAAAGTTCCAACGTTAGCCAAATCCACTTTTACGTAAACAAGCCTTGTCGCCGAAGTCTTGGAAAGTTTGAGAACAAAAATAATGGGGTCTCAATAAATGTAAAAATCTTCTAATGAAAATGTTATTTAAGTCTCTGAGCTTTGTATGACTGTGTTAAGGGGGGGGTAAGGTTTTAAAGGCCAAAAAAAGGGCCATGTTTGATTTTTTTTTGCGGCGAAATGAGTAAGTTTATTTTATTGAGCTTAATTACATGTTATTGTTTAACTTTTGAAGAGTATTAGAAAAAAAAATTATTAAAAAATATTAAGAAATAAGCCTGTGGCGGTTAATCTTCCGAAGCGACCAAAGAAAAAGTTGTCTTGCGGTGAACATCATAGGGCGTTAACGGATCATCTTAAAAATAAAATGTGATATGCGTTGAAAAGATAATGAACTTCCCGAGGTAATCAGGAAGAGTTTTTTTAAAATTTATTTTTTGTCTATTTTTGGGAGCACTTGAAAGTGAAAACAGCGATTTTAGCTTAAAAAATTGCTGTTAATTTATTTATTAAAAATAGAAAAAAATTAAAAATTAAAAAAAACTCTTCCTGATTACCTGCGTATTTATATTGAGAATTTGTGTTAAAAATTTGAAAAGGATCGGTTCAGTAGATTTTGAGTTCTGATGTTCACCGACTTTCAAAATAACGTCTTCGGCAAAATCGATTCAAAGTATTTTTATACGTGAAAATTCGTCCAAATACGGTTCTTTAAAACGCTGTAACTCTGTTAGTTCGACTTTAATTGACTCAAAATTTTTACACAATGTTCTCGACACATTGGTCATTCAGAAAAAAATATAAAAAAAATGTAAAAAAATTTTTTAAAACCTTACCCCCCCTTAATTAAACAACAACGGAGAAAGCCGTTGATCCCCTGAGATTTCGTTATCTACCAGCTGATTCAAGCTTCACTCTTAGTAAACGTATCACGTACATAAAAATACATTATACAAATTAATTGAGTGAAAATCAGCTTCACAGACAGGCGTCGACATGCGATTTGCCCATACACAAGTAAAATGCTCCTTACCTTATCAAAACGCAGGGCAAAAAAAAAAGCATTCCCGCGATAAGTCGGCGAAACCGTTGGCATAAACAACTCGCAAGCAAACAAAGAAATGATTCCTCTAGTACATATATATTCCATAGGTTATTCGGAGAAATAACCAATTGGATAATGTTTACAGTTTAAAATTTAAGTATATAGTTCTTTGTTCAATTATTTGGCATCGGCGAAACCCACACGGTCGTTGCCCATGTCGAACTCGGTGTAGTATTTGCCAATAAACACATCGCCCAGAATCCACAATGGACCATTTGGCGGGGGGATGTCCATGCCCATGAATCCGGACAAACAAATGGTCTTGCCCATTTGGGCTACGCGAAGAATATAGTCCTTGCCCTCCAGCTCAAAGGTCTTGCCACCAAAGACGAACTTAATAACCGGGAGACTGGGGATTAGGTCGCAGGAAACCACGTACTGGAAATAAAGTAAATGAAATAAAGTTAATACCTTTAATGGGGATCTACAGAGCTAGCTACTCACCTGACCACCGATTATGGGAGTGCCGCCGATCTTCTGGTTAATGGAGGTGGCCTCCTGCAAGGGAGCAGCAATCAGCGAGGTGCCGGTATCAGCAATCACCTGGCAACCGCCCTGGCAGAGCTGCAGATCGCCAATCGAGGCCGAGTCCATCTTGACCTGCCAGTAGGCCTTACGGGTAACGGGCAGATAAGTAAAGTCACCAGTGTAGTGATTGGGATCAGAGCCGCCAAAGATGATCTCACCGCCTTCCGGGGAAGCGGGATCACGGTTCAGGTAGAACGAGAACACAGGTGCGGAGATCAGTCCTTGTTCGTACATGGCGTAGAATGGGGGCTTCACCTTATCCACGGAAATGGAGCTGTAGCCCAGGCCCAGAATACCGTCGAACTTGGCGGCCACAAACACGAGACCAGGCTCACTCAGTGCCTCGGCGAACGTCTGATCCTTGATGTCCAGGCCAGCGATTGTAACAGTGTCCGTGGAAAGATAGCCCGACAGGCTGCCAGAACCGTATTGGATAGCGAATTCGGTGCCATTCTTGGTGTATGTCTTCGACTTTGAGGCATCGTACTTGTTGTGCATCAAGCAGGCGATGTTGGTAAAGTGGCACTTTTTGGAAGGCACCCAGAGATTCGAGGAGCCGGTGTCGAAAACCACACGGAAGTTCTGTGGCGGCGAGCCGATGGCAATGGGTCCGTAGTACTGGGCGTCCATGTAATTGGACAGCGGTTCCGGGACATCGCCACCGCCGTACTTAATGCGCAATTGCTGCAGCTCCGTGCCTACGTCTTGAAAGTGTCGGCGGGCCGACTGAAATTTCTGCAGCGGCACACGCAGCAATTCAGATTTAGCTTGCGGATTTGAGTAAGCCACGGCCAAGGCCAGGAAGGCGACCAGCAGCAGGGCAACCTTCTGCATCTCTTTTTTGTTTTGGTGTTTCACTGACTGACGGTTAAAACTGCAATGATTAAATTGCTGCAGTTAATTAAATATTGCGGGACAGCGAAAATGATTCAGCACAGATAAAGTGCTAAATTTGGCCTGGCGCGATGCGTTGATACGATAGATCGCTTGAAAACCAGATGGTTTTTATTTTAAAACTGATTTTTATTAATTTTTTTTTTTTTTGCAATTAGTTAAAAAAGGGGTGTTTTTTGTTTAATGAAAAGTATTAATATATTAATAGATATTAATGTTTACATATATATGTATATATACATAGTATAAGTACAACTCCCCACCTTGTAGTTGGGATCCACCAATATCGAATTTGGTTGTCTTATTCCTTATTGAAATACCTATTTCCCAACAATTTTGACACGACCTTCCTGTCGCGTCCGATATAAAGTTCAAAGGATCTTTGCGTCCTTCCAATTAGAGCAGGGTGCGGCAACGGGTATTGATGAATCCTGTCCTAATTGCTAGGACGCAGATATCATCTGATATTTATATTGGGCACAACAAGAAGGCTATGCAAAAATTTTAAGGATCGAGTGCGGTGTTTGAACCTTGCTAAGACACCAAGCTATTTTAAAAACCATAAATCCCACTCGTTCGCGCGAAAAACTGCGGCGTCGCAATATCTTTTAAACTCCTTTGTGTCGATGAGATGTGACGAAGTCAAAAATAACTCCGGCGCGAATTTCTTTAAAACTGTATTGTGTATTTCTTTTAATTTTCGAATTGAAAACTAGAAGTGCTTGCACGGAATTGTAAAACTAAACTAACCTTAAAGGTTAGCAGGAAAATCCTTTAGTCACAAAAGCCACAGCCAACCTGATTTTGAAACCGAACTTAAAATTTCTTATTAAAATTTTGCTTTGTTAACTCTTTTAAATATATACCACAGGGTAAATAAAAATAATAGCTAATTTGTTTTAAATTTGTTGTTGTTTTCAGCTACAAGAGTTAAAAATATGTTATACCAAAAAACAAAGAGATAAAATAAAAAAATATTTAAAGATACATAAAATATTTTTACAAAGGTGTATTTTATATTTAAAAGAAAGTACAGTAAAAGTGAAAGATCCTAAAAATAAAATTTCATGGGGGCTAGGACAAATCAACGAGATTTGGTAACTATCTCACACGAAAGATCATTATCATCAATATTAAAAATATTTTTAATTTGAAAATAACAAACCTTTACTTAACATGGAAATTATATTATAATCAAGTCAAATACCTACTTGGAGTGCTAATTAACAAGGGTACTCAAGATAATGGTACCGTTATTATATTGTTTTAAGCAGCTGATAGCGTTGCCACCACGATTCACAATTATGTTTACACTTTCTAGTTATTGGCGCGAATCTTTTAAGATTGTAAGTTACGCCGAGGAACCGGAATGTCCATTAACTTTTTAATTAATTTTAGGTCCTCCAACTTAACACTATGAAACGGACCAAGACGGCGAAGGCAGGTTCCTCCAAAAAAGCGGCCAAGAGTCAGGGAGGCAGCCGCAAGGAAGAGCCAAAAAGTGACCAGGACGGCAGGGAGAAGGAGGCTTCTCCCTCGAAGGTTTCGTTGGCTTCTAAGCCGGATTATCAGAATTTCGACCAGTTCCTCATCCATCTGGAAGATCAGCGATGCATTGCGGCAGCCAGCATTCAGGAGTTCTCTTTCCGAAAGAAACGAGCTCGAGTCTTGTCCGAAACCGAAGATGTTGAGGATTCCTGCCAAGGAGGCATCGTCTACTGGATGTCACGTGATTGTCGAGTTCAGGACAACTGGGCTCTTCTCTTCGCCCAGCGGTTGGCCCTTAAGTTGGAGCTGCCTTTATCGGTGGTATTTTGTTTGGTTCCCAAATTTTTGAACGCGACCATTCGGCACTACAAATTCATGATTGGCGGACTGCAGGAGGTGGAGCAGCAGTGCCGTTCCGTGAACGTGCCCTTTTATCTGTTGATGGGTTCGGCCGTGGACCAACTGCCGGATTTTGTGAAATCCAAGGGCATAGGAGCTGTAGTGTGTGACTTTTCCCCACTGCGTGTGCCTCGCAAATGGGTTGAAGATGTGGGCAATTCATTGCCCAAGAGTGTACCGCTGGTGCAGGTCGATGCGCACAATGTGGTTCCACTGTGGGTGGCTTCTGACAAGCAGGAGTATGCAGCCCGCACCATACGCAACAAAATCAACTCTAAGCTAGGGGAGTTTCTCAGCGAATTTCCACCTGTGGTACCGCATCCCCATGGAACGGGCTGCAAAGATTTGAAGCCCGTTGACTGGCCAGCTGCGTATGCTACGCTGCAGTGCGACATGGACGTAGACGAGGTCGCGTGGGCCAAACCAGGTTACAAAGCGGGCTGCAAGCAACTCTATGAGTTCTGTACCCGACGCCTGCGTCACTTTAATGACAAACGAAACGATCCTATGGCAGACGCCTTGTCTGGACTCTCACCTTGGCTGCACTTTGGCCAGATCTCAGCCCAGCGCTGCGCTCTGGAGGTGCAGAGATTTCGGGGACAATTCAAGGCCTCAGCGGATGCCTTTTGCGAGGAGGCCATTGTGCGTCGAGAACTGGCGGATAACTTCTGCTTCTACAACGAGCACTATGATAGTTTGAAAGGTCTAAGTTCTTGGGCATTTGAAACTCTAGAAGCACATCGAAAGGATAAAAGAGATCCATGCTATGGTCTAGAGGAACTTGAGAAGGTATGCTGCCGATGTACTCTATTTTCTAGTAACTAAGATAGCTCTTTCTTACTTAGTCTCTCACTTACGATGACCTGTGGAACTCCGCGCAGTTGCAGTTGGTACGCGAGGGAAAAATGCACGGCTTCCTCCGTATGTACTGGGCCAAAAAGATCCTTGAATGGACTGCCACTCCGGAACAAGCGCTGGAGTACGCGATCCTGCTTAACGACAAGTACAGTCTCGACGGTCGAGACCCCAACGGTTATGTGGGATGTATGTGGTCGATCGGAGGCATTCATGACATGGGCTGGAAGGAGCGGGCTATCTTCGGTAAGGTTCGGTTTATGAACTATCAGGGCTGCAAGCGAAAGTTCGATGTGAATGCCTTCGTTATGCGCTACGGGGGAAAGGTGCACAAGAAAAAATAAACGTCGTTTTTTATTCGCCTTAGTTTTGAATGCAAGCCAAGAACATTTTTGTATTTAACCATAGATCCACGAAGAGGCATTATAAAATATGACAAAATTACAGCTAGCAGAAGTTAGTCCTTCTCGGCGATCTTGGTAAGGTGCTCTTCGATCTCCCGCTCGTCGAGTATACGGAAAGTGGGATCGGTCTTGCTAACCACGCCAATCTCGATGCCGTTGGGCTTGAAGTCGATAGCTAGCACGCTGGATAGGCAGGTGATGGCCAGCTGGATTGCCTTCTCCTCGGACAAGTTGTTTTTGTACTTCTTTTCCAAATAGCTGTTGGCCTCCAGGGTCTTGGCGCCCACGGAACAGGCACGGAACCCACTAAAGTAGCCAGCCGGGTCTGTCTTGTAAACGCTGGCGCCGATCTCATTGTCGTAGGCGATCAGCACCATGCTGCAGCCAAGTGGACGCATCTCGGCGTTCTGGGTGTACACCTGGTTGATGTCGGCAATGCGCCGGCATAGCACATCCACCGGCATGTCGTATCCGTACTTGTAACGAAAGTTTGCGGCCTCGTACCTGGCCTTTTGCACCTGAGAGCGGGAATCAGCTGAAAATAAGGAGCTGATTAGATATATTCAGAAGTCGGGATGGGAGAAATTTGAGAACACCTTGAATAGTGTTGATTTTTATAAATAAGTGATTTCATTTAAAAGAATATATCGGGCATTAAGCCGAAAATGTTCGAAAAATATTGATCAATTATAAAAGAATGTTCAAGTTACAAGGAGTTTTAGAATCGATGTCGGTTTAAAAATAAACCTACCTAAAGGCAGAAGTTACTCCGGAAGTCATAATAGAATTCCAGATAATTATACTTTGTAAATTACCCTGTTTAGTTACACTGAGAGCAACACGAATTCAAAGGCTGATTGGTCCTTACCCATGCGTCCGGTCATGGCGCATCCAATGTCCTTGGTGATGCGAAACAGGTGGGTAACCGTTTCGGGCACGATGTTCTTCTCGGTCACCTTTTTTTGGGTGGCCACCACGGCACAGTCGCCGCTCTTTAGCGCCACCGTAGTAATGTTCTCCTGGGCGATGGCCTTAAAGGCGTACTCTGACGGATATTTTGGAATATGAAATGAGAGTAGATTAGCAAAAAATAGCAGGATACTCACCCACTTGGTAGAGGCGTCCCTCGGGGGAGAAGATCGTGATGTGTCTGTCAAAGCCGGCTGAACTTCCTCGAGACATGATGCGAGTTTCTTATTTTGGTGGCTGTAAATAGTTAAATCCGGCTTAGATCGATGAATTCCCGCCTGTTGAAAATAACTCACCGTTTGAACAATAAGAATTTACAAGTTTCTATATAAACGAGAAAAGTCGCTTTAAATCGAAATCTACTGTGCAAAATTCAGATTGTCATTCTCAACCCAGTAAATTCCCTAAAAAATACCAAAAGCAACGCGCGCTGGGATTTGGTGTTTATCGTTGATATCGAATAAAAAGAGCTGGTAAAAGTTAACAAAAAAACTAAATTGTTAATGACCATAATTAAACAAAAAGCGGGAAATAAATAAATAAGAGCATAATTTTTATTCCCATTTATTATTTGTAATTATTGGATCAAAATTGAAACAAAAATATATTGTAAAACAGACAACTTAAATAATACAAATAAATTAAAGGAGATAAGCCTTAGTCGCCAATAAAAATTTTAGATCAAATAGCCAACGAACCACCACTAGAGCTGCTTTCAGTTATTATAAATCGATAACAGCGCGGTTCCGTGCGTAAATACGTGCTCACCTCTATCTGGATGTAACCATCGGGCGAATTCGAGGTAAATATTTATCAATAACAGCGAAACGCTGCAATAGCGATTTATTTGGAAGCCAAGTGCGGGTCGCCGGCAGCCAAAATGCACGAGGATGATCTAAAAAGTCAGTTGACAATCGCGCGGAATGAGATCAACAATTTAAGGTGCGTTTTAGAGACACGGGTTCCTATTGGTGTCCTTTTGCTACTGGTAAAGTTCAAGTTCACACCGATTTTGCCTTGACCATGATGTAGGCAGCAAGTACGCAACCTGCAGCATGTGCAGCGCAAGGACATAGAGACGATAACCCGCCTGCTGCAGGACTTCCGCTGCGAGGGCTGCGCAAGCAACAACAAGGCCACCAAGGACAAGGTCGCCGGCGCGAAGCAGGAGCATCAAAATCAGCAGCAGGCGCAGGAGCAGGAGCCGGGACAAGGTCAGGTGCGTTTGACCCTCCCACGAACACATAGAAAGACATAAACAAACCAGAAAACCCAATCTCCACCGCAGAGCAATCACAGCAATGGGGGAAGCTTTGGAGGGGACTACGCCCATTTCCGTCCCATCGGAGTGATCCGGACAGCCTTCCCGGAGAAGCGAGCTGTACCCAGGCAATCGATTGTGGGCAGCCGTCTGCGGGGCATCGTTCAGCTAAACGACGGAGTCTTTACCAATCCAGAGCACTCGCTGGAGGGACTGGCCGACTTTTCACATCTGTGGCTCATCTACCACTTCCACCGCAACAATGCCCATCCCAAGGCTAAGGTGGCGCCTCCCCGTCTCGGTGGCGAGAGGGTGGGTGTGTTCTCCACACGGTCTCCACACCGGCCGTGTCCCATTGGGCTCTCGTTGGTGGAGATTGAGAAGATCGAGAACGCCACCATCAGCTTTTTTGGTACAGACATGGTGGACGGAACTCCAGTGCTCGACATCAAGCCCTACATTCCATATTATGATGCGCCATCCTTGAGCGTAGACTCAGGTATGTTGAGCGACAATAAGCTGGAATATGAAGTAAAGTTCTTGTCCCGGACAGGACGCACCTCTGCGGGACCGCATGAGAACAGCCTGGACTTTTACGACTCACGCCAGGAGCCTGACGGAGAGGAATCGGACCTGGAGCTGTACGGAGCAGCTGGTTACTCCGGAAATTCGGGCATCGGAGCAGATGCCATGCTGCCTCCACCAAGCGCCGTGCGAGTACCCAACTGGGTGGTGGCCAGCAATCGGCTAAGCGTGTGCTTCAACGAACATGCCGAGGCACAGCTGAAGGAGCTGCAGGTGGAGAAGCAGTGCATCGTGGACATTTTGGAGGCGGATCCACGCTCAGTTTACTTACGCACAAAATACGGCTCGCAAATATTCACCTTCCAGTTGCGGGAGGTTACGGTGACTTGCAAATTTGATGACAAGGCCGCCACGGTTACTGTGGTTCAAGTCCGGCGGAATGAGAACATACAAGTCACTGCTTTGGACGGCGCCTAACTTACGGATTATTGCAATTAATATTCGTTTATCGACGATTTTTGTTTAGCTTAAGTATTTCGTGTTAAGGAGCATTAACATTTGGCGTTTCAATTTTGCTCTAGGATACAGGACATTCTGAAATATATGTACAAGGCTTGTTTCCCACGCAAAAATAGTTTTTTTCTTGGAAAATTATAAGTCTGTTTATTTTAAGGCATCATAAAATATACAATATAATTTTTTTACTTTCAGAAATATGGGTGATTTGATCTGGAAAGAATTTTTAAGCCAAGCAAAGCAGTTTCTTCAGATTTCCCAGCGGTTGGGTGATGATTGGATCCTGGAACAAAAGGTGATTATGCAAGTATATATATATTGTAAGCCAATTAAATAATTCATTGTCTTTTTAATCTAGGACTTGAATGAACCCAACACCTTCCTTAAGTTCAGTCAAAAGGTAAAAAGCAACGGAAGCGAGGGTGATCCTGGAGAATTTGTGAATGTGGAGTACCATGTAGTCTACAGCATTTCCTATCAAGTACCCATGTTGTTTTTCCAGGCACACAGATCAAGTATTGTTTCTTATAAACAATTTTGTTGTTTTGAAACTGAACTTAATATTTTACAGACGGAAGCCTTCTGGATTTGGAGGCGATTTGGAATTTATTTATGGCGGAAACTAATGCCAACGATCTCTACCAGATACTCACCCAAATGGAGCACCCCGTGCTGTTTAGACCTTTCATGGCACTACATCCTTGCCGCACCGCCGAAGTTCTTAGACAATTCGGACAGCCCAGTAGTAATCAGGTCATCACCTTTATCAGTCTTTACGGGCCCCATGTACAGTTACACTTGCAAAATGCCTATGGACTTAGTCAGGAATACACGTAATTTGCATTTATTGGTGGTTGTTTTAAACACTGGTTATAGGAGTATACATGTGTGGATAATATGCCAAATGCAATTTACAGCTTCACATTCGAATCGCTACCTCAAAGTGGTTTGACCTTTACATAGAATAAGCTTCAAATGGGGACATCATGGTCCTCCTCTTTTGTAGTACTGGGCACAAGTGAAGATCCAAATTGTACAGTAAATACGGCAAACTGTTATGGGATACACTTAAAGAGCGACCACTCTACGACTCACACCTAAAGCTAAACTTTGGTATGAATGTAGTCTAAATGTAAAATAAATTACTTTAGTAAACCTAAGAAAGGAACGAAGCTTTGTACACAGATTATAACTCCGCTTTGGGGATACATTTCATCTACTTATGCAATAAATATTGTAGACCTAACATAGTATATAGTTTGCAAGTTCCACTCGCTTTCTTCTTTGTTAATTTCACTGGTAATATCAACTAGTAGTATATTTGTTCGATTATTTCATAGTTGTAATATAGCTACTTTAGACAGGTATAACCTTACACCTAATTGTACTGTACACAAGCGTGGCATTAGTAAAGCCGCTTTGCTTTGCATTTTACTAATGTTTAGTGGTTCATTTATAATTAATGTTAACTGGCTACTGTGTGGCATTAGCGGCACCCCGCGGCCATCACAAAATCCACCTGTTCCTGGCGAAACCTGGGCTTGTGGGCGCGGGGAATCGCGTTGAAAATGTTTATTTGCAAAATTAAATCGATTTTGTATATTACGTTGTTTTTGCAATTGTAATCCGACAGAATACACGTTCACGTACATTCAGATAATATACTTTCTATTGACAGGTTGTCGTGCCGAGGGATAAGGGTTTTGTGGAGTATGAAAATCCTCTAGGGGACATCCAAGGGTGATTACAATGGCACAAGGAGAACTCAAGTTGGTCTTGAAAATGCCTAAGATATGATTCGTCTAAACTAGATACTAGGTCGTGTTCTATGTTTTCAAGCAAGTTGTGTGTTATAGCTGCCGTTACACTATTTAGTGGTTGAAATACTTAGTCCTTGAAATGGTCTGTTAATCAACAAAACTAGATTAGGGGACTAACTTTAGAGGACACTTATTGAATTGAGAGTATATCCATTTATCATTTCATACACAAGTTAACCATGTTATCTCATGGAAAAGAATTCTAAACTAAGTAACCTTATTTTCGGGTTCTAAAATAGTTATATTACACAATCGTTTTCATGGAAATACTATTTAACAAATAATAGATTTTTTTGTGATTTCAATTATTGGGATTTGAACTTTTTTCTGCTTCGTTTTATAAATTTACACGCGGTCTGGAAAATGCTAATTACGCATGTTAATTAAAATCATGCCAAAAACCGATTGAAATTGAATTCTAATTTGGTTACTTAAAATGTATCTGGAATGTAGTTTTTTTTACTCTAAAAAATGTAATTGGTGGGAAGTTTTGGCACTTCCAATTTTTATTTCTTGCCATATTATCTATTTTTGTTGGTTCTGAAGTTGTATTTATGATTTATCCATGAGTATTGTATTTGTTGGAACCTTATTGGCACTAAACATACATATCATACATATACGATTATATGAAATATACACTTTTACAGTATTATTTAACATCCGATTCTTGTCATCTCAATATATGTATTCATATATAAAATTTCGTTTAAAGCTGCACCATTTTGTTGACATTTGCATATCAAGTTACATTTGTTTTCTCTATATACAATATAAGTTACTAAAAAAAAGTAAAGTTCGTTAGTCAGTGGCGAGTGTTGCCCAAATGCACTCCCTCGATCAATGATATGTTATCTTTTTGGGGTTCGAAACTATATCTTTTCTATCTTAGCAACACTCACCACTGGTGATGACGGAATAAATTACTTAAGTCTAAGGCATAAAATTCGCACTACTATGCTTTAAGTTTTTGTTCGGTTTGTTGTTGTTGTGGTTGTTTGGTTGGTCTCATTTCAGTTGCATCATTTGGACAATTTTCACTATATAATCGATTTTAAAGTGTTCTTAAAATATCCTGTGGCACTGTACACCTAAAGCCTTTGCACGATGACTCGGGGGTGTCCCGATCTCGTTATGGTATTGCTATATACAGCTTCCGCACTCGGATCCCAGTTGGAATGGACTTGACTCGGTTGTATATTTGGCTAGTCTAACACTAAATATAAAGCTCTGTAACTCACTCGACATACATACATACGAATACATATAGCACATCTACACATATCATAAGGGAAAGCCTTAATCTAGGATAAACCAATTCGATGCGATCGCGGGTGGAATAGGACTAGTACTAAGGATAAAGCTATTGCCGCTAGGCTATGTTATGGACGGTGGTGCTCCTAGTGACGATCCGAAAGTCATCATCCAGCTCATCGGCGGACTCGGGAGCTGTGCGTCCCATGAAGTCGCTCGATGCGCTGCGCCTGAATCAGCTGCACAGCAAGTTGAAGAACCCGCGTCCCTTCTCCGATCGCGGTGCCATCAGCATGGGCACCTGGTTCTTGTGGGTCACCTTGATCTGGTTTCCGAGAATCCAATTTGGTCAATTAGTTCTCTTAATGGGTTAACAACCAGATGGGCTCTTACCGTGCAGGGCATCTGCATCCAGGGCTCGCCATCGATCTGCATGGGAAATGTTTTCTTCGTCTTGATGATCACCTCGCTGCACTGCGCCAATCTTCGTCCCGAGGCTCGGAGTCCAGTTCTCACCTGGCCCATGTGCAGGCAGTTCTCCAGACCGATCACTTCAATCAGGCGATCGCCAATATCTAAAACACCGAAATAACTTATTAGTGAATGCACAAAAACAAAGACAGTAATAATTTTTGTTTAGGTATACCAAATACCTCCTGCTCAAATCAAAAATGTATCAAAATATTTACAATTTATTTAATTGGTGTTAGTGTTGTAGTAGAAAACGTATTTTGAAGTATAAAATATATTACAACTGTTTTAACTGGTACTTGGGACTCCAAGTTTTATTCAATTATGAATAAAAATAAATGACAGACAGAGTAATTCTGGATACAGTTTTTAAAGTTTCAATGCTAGAATTTAACTCACCCTGTATGGCCACCGAGAGATCGACGGAATTAAAGCTGGTGGCGGAGAACTCCTTGTCGCCCGCCCGGAGCTTCTTGCTCTTGCCGAAGGGCCCGGCGCTCTTGCGGATTCGCTTCTGGGAGAGGTGCTCGCCCCACAGATTGGAGCCGCCGTGTGTGTACGGGATGTTCAGAAGGGCCACTCCCTGCAGGTGGGGACCGTTGGCCAGGTCCAGAGCCACGCCATCGCACTGCGGAAATATGGAGCGATGGTTACACGCTGCGTTGCATTCGTTGCAGCATCCGTTAATAAATCAAACGATGACGGATGACCCCATTCCACCCATTTTTCAACACTTCCCTTACCACTATCACCCCAGCCACTCACCACAATCTCGATGCTCTCGTGGAGATTCTTGCAGGATGCCGCAAATGTCTCGGATGTTGCATATTCGAAGTACCAGAGCTTGTTCTTCATGCGGCTATTGAATTTGTGGGGGTTTTTCTCGCGCTCCAAGTGAAACTTGACACAGATGGCGGCGTCCTGGGAAAGTGGAAGCAGAGTGGTTCGGGATGAGAAGTGGCCAAGGCCAGTGGAAAGGTCACCTCAGAAACAGGCCATTCAATGTCACGTTCGGATTGCACTCGATTGCGAATGCTATGTGCCATTCAGACTTTCCGAGAAATCTCAATTAGATTGACACCCCGGCTGCCATGGCAATGCAATCCTATTGAAGTGCCACCCAACCGCAGCAATGCTAATTAATGTTGTGGCCGAACGTTAGATAAGACTCCTAATTTATATTAACAAACGGCAGGTGAGAACGCAGCTACTTGTCTCAGTGGGTTTCGTTCGGAAACTAATGGAAACTTCTTCAGGGGATTGGATTTCTCATCAAGTTTAAGTCGATGCAGTTGCAAGCGAGGTGCTAATCCTCATTAAATCCGAAAAGTCTTTGTGTTATAGAAACACCTAATTTATTTAACAAATGGCGAGGAAGAGAAAAGCTGTTTGTCTCGGGGTGGCCGTAATCGAAAAGTGATAGAAACTTCAAGCAGAGAGGGATTTATCAAGAAGTTTAATTCTGCTCAGCTGCAAGCAATCTGTCCATATGTACAGCTACAGTCATTAACATAGGTCCAGAAGGGTTTATATTTTTAAAAATAATAATATTAATGGAAATGGAATCTTTTAATAGTAGAACCTCATATTTTCCTAGTCCTTTCAACAACTAATTAAAAAGGTAAATACACTGGTGTTCGAAAATTATATTGATATATTTTAAAAAATTTGTGTCCAAAAAGGTAAAGAAGATGCGATTATGTACAAATGAACTAAATTTATTATTACTACGAATAACTACACATATAGTTATATTCTAAGATCCAGAGATTTTAATAAGCCCACTGAAAAGCAGTGCTGTTTGCATAGTCGCATTTGTACGTGGTAAGCTCACATGCTGGGTGCTCACTGTGCACAGGCAAAAATGTTTGCTTTACCGGAGACCGGCGACGGGCAACTCCAATCCACGAAAGACGCAAGAGGAGGAGGTCCCTTGTCGGGTGGGAGAATGCATTTTAATTTCTTATGCGGATATTCGGTTGCGTGCCCGCCCCGTGGGCGACATCGCTCATACGACACGTTGCACTTACTGCCAGCGCATTTGTTATGCATCTCGCTCAGCAAACACACGCACACACACACACACACACCCACAGGGGCACGCGCGGCTTTGGTCCTTTGTCCGCCGGATGCAGGGCACGTGGTGGCTGCAGGACTTTCAATTACGGCCCGTTGGTTGCACTGCAAATAAGATTTATTACCGCTCGACGTCAAATTGAATTGTCAACATGAGCGGGCGCCTGCCAGAGCTTAAAATCGAAAAATCGACGAAAACTTTTTAATTAGCTCCGGCCGCCGTACCCTGCCTTCCGGCTTCCCCGCCCGCTGTCACTTTATGCCTCTGCGGTAAACTAATTTAGTGACAGCCCAGCTTATTAGCATGCCTCGACCGCACAGTACCCATTAGTCGAGGGAGGTGGGGAGAGCGGCTGACAGCTTGTTTGCATGGGGGAAAGTTTGCCGGCGTGACCCGAAAGCCAGCAAAGGAACCTGCCACACCGACCAAAGTTGGCTCCAAAAAAAAAGGATGGTGGGGAGGTGAGAGGTTAATGAAATAATTTGTATACCCAAACTGGCACACCGGCAGCAGGCTAAATCCAAGCTGCTTTAGATAACACGAAATCTCGTAAAGGCCACGGGGCGTATGAGCGACTCAGGTACGACAGCCCTGCCATAAAATGCGCATCCAGCCCGTTGTCCCCGTTCTCTGGTACATAAAACTTGAGCCAAACTCAAAGTCGAAGCTCAGACAATTACACATGAACTCCATAACAGCCTCCAGTTGCCAATCTTCCGTCTTGCCAACCAGTGGTGACAGCTTTTCAAACGAAAACAACTTTTTCATCCGAGGAGTGAGTCAAAAACAAGCTAGACTCACAACAGACGGCGGAAAATAACTTCTGTGTAATTCTACTTATATAAAAAAAAACTCTACAAACTCTTTGCTTTAATCATATCAGTATAGTATCATCTTTGGGATAGACTCTTGAGATACTTCTTACTAATGAGCTACAATTAATCACCCGTATTCTTTAGTATAGAAGAGTTAAACTAAAATGGTGTTGTTATCAAAATGAAGTTTTTTATATCTCATAAATTGTATTTTATGAGACTGCACATAAGATCAGGTTTTATTTCCATTTTATGTTACCGAATAACGATCGATCTTTAACACCAGTGCTCTTAAAGTTCAACTTCAGTTTGTGATTAATTTGACACGACGAACTCGGTTATAAAATGCAAACGACAGATTCCCCTCGTATACAAAGTTGTCCAAAAAGCCAGACTTAACGGCTAAATGCTTAACTCAACTGCCGAAACTGCCTGAAACTCGCACTTTTATCATCATCGCACCAGTTGGCGCTCAACGTCAATTGTTTGACGTTAAACCCAAGCGTCAGCGTGAAATACTTTTCATGCTGTATTACTCGAGAATGGTGGAGGTAGTGGCACCTCCTCCTCCTCCTCCTCCTCCACATCCTCCTCCAGCTCCTCCTTCTTCTTCCGATTTCACGAAGGATGCTCGCTTCCAAGGCGCTGGGCCACTTGAGCCGGAGCACTCGCTCATAGAGCAGACACATGTTCATGTACATGAGTGTTAAATGGATTTCGTGATGGGCCCGGGACAAAGAGCTCTCCGTGTGAAATGTGTCCGACAAGTAAAATCCCAGCAGCAGCAGGAGCGGCAATAACATCATCGCCTACTGTTTAAACAGACGCACATCAAGTCATAAATAAACTAACACGCAGCGCACACAAAAATGTGCGGAAGCCCCGATCCAAACCTGCACCCAAACCCAAACCCAAACCCAAACCCAAGCCCGAGCTGGAGCCGGAAAACCCAAAGCGAAATCCAACCCACACGGGCACACATTTTTATTTCGGTTTTGGTGCGGATTTTGTGGGATCTGGTGTGCAATTGCCGGGGCTCTGCGGCAGGAGCATTAGGCTGATTTCAGTGGCGCAGGGGAGCGCAAAATGTTTGCACAAAAAGGATTTCGGCTTTAGCCGCCACTTGACAAATGGTGTGACCTTACGCAGGCCCAGCACCCACACAACCATCCACACACACACATCCACACACTCTCATCATACACGGAGAAAGACAAAGAAAATTGCAGGGCAATATCGAGCTAATAGTTGAGCCCTTAACCGTTTGGCGCGAAGTTTTGTTTATCTTATCTGTTTGTTGTGTATCCAAGTTAAGTAATTTGTATCCCAAAAGGTTTAGATGTAGGATAAGTACGAAATACATAAAGTAGCTAAAATTTCTATTTTATAAAAATAGCTCATTGGCTAAAAAATTTGTTTTAAAATCCACACTACCCTGTCACAATTTGACTGTATAAAGCTTGAATAATTTATCTGGAGTAACTCAAAATTTCAATTAAATATAAAGCCTTCAAAATCAACATGTATATACTGGTTAAAACTTTTTATTTACTAAAGTATTTACTTATTATTAAATAGTAAAAAGTTAAATCATTATTAATTTATTCATATTGAAGGTAACCGCTTCTCATTTCCGTTATATCTAACTCAACGTTTTGTATTGAATTGCCCTTTGGTTACTAATTTTACTGTGTACTTCCGCCCACCAATGGGCGTGTTTACCAACTGCCAAAAACACAAAGGGAAGGCTGGACAACGTCTGGCTGATTTGTACCACATTTCCGTTTTATTCGGCCTTCATTTCATTTCATTTGTGCGGCCAGCCCTGCGTTGTAAAGTTGTCACTTAACTTTCTTTATGGCCCTCCTAAATCCCGACCTGATAAACGGACTGCAGGCCGCCGAAAGTGCGAGTATCTGTGATTTGGCCGCTCCCTTCGTTACTTCTCGCCATTTTCATATCTCACATCATACTAAATTATTCAAAAGACCCAACGAAAGTTTGCAAAGTTTTATCCTTGCTCCTATTTATTGCCCACACACTCTCGGTTGCGAATATACTATATGGTATACTGTACTATACTGTACTGTATGTTGGTCCCTGGGGCGCAATCTGTTTCTTTTCCTTGACTTTGCGGTGTTTGGCGTCGCCTTGAGCTGTTACTAATTTAACACTTGCTGGAAATTATAATGAGACAAGTTTCGCCTGGCCACAGCTCGGGCGTTCATTAATTTAAACGTTCTCGGCTATTTGGGTATATTCAGCTTGGACACTGGTTAAGTAATTCGAGGGGCCGGAAAAGTGTTGCCTAACTTTTGGGGTCGGCTGATTGGGGCTTTTCACAGTTTAAGCACTGGCGTCTATTTGGCTGCGGAAGCTGGGAAAAGAGCAGTCAAATAGCGCAAATTGCACCTGATCCTGCAGCTGCTGCCTTTCAGCTGCCAATCGAATGCATTTTGCAGCATCAATGATGCAAATGCGCCGCTGATGATTGTGTGCTTAACTCCTGCCACCTCGTTTGCATTTACCCCGAGACTCAGATGGAAGTGCAAAAGTATCTGTATCTGTGTCTGTATCTGGTATCCTGCCACCACTGCCACAACTACTGCATCTGCACCTGAACCGTATCTGTATCTACATTTGTGCCTCGGGCGTGTGGCATTCGCCTTTTGTGGCAATCAGCCACTTTGCATGCAAAATGTGTTGCAACCCGGCAGAGGCTTTGACTAATCGCCAGACACGATTCCGTTTCCAGGGGATTCGAGAAACGTTTCCTGCCGCCGTCTCCGTTCTTTATTCACTATTGGGGCGCCATTGTTTGAGTTGCGTTCTTTCCTCGGTTATGAATGTGTCCATTCAAAGCGAGTTCCTCGGAAATTTGCATCTGAAAGAGGGTTTTCTGCCTCGAAGGTTATTTGTAGGCGTTTTGGGCTCGACTTTTGCCGGATAAGCCGGAAATGGGGTGTCTCCTGTACAAAGCGCGGAATAAATGATTAAGTCGATTTAAATGAATTATTGAGCGGTCCCAAATCGCTTGGCACATTTTCCCCAAACGTTATTAGCCTTTAAGGACTATTGAGTGAATGGAGGGTGCTAAATACTTGAATGCAATTTTCTTGGAATTACACAACATTGTTCATTGTTTTTGAAATGTGTCATACTTAAGTAAAGCATACAATTCCAATCAACTTAAGAGAAGACTAACTCCAAATAGAAAACAGATATTTGCCATCATTTAATAACTCCCCTAATACTTTTCAAAGTCCTTGACTCCTAACGCAATTTCTCAAATTTCCAATTAGGAATTCCGCTTTGATTACTTGCACACCCACACAGAGCCACATTTTCTGGCAATCACTCGAAGACAAAGGCTGGAGATTTGCGACGCGATTTCCTCGGATAAACAAATTAAGCCCGGCGAGCGAGCTTGTCAAATGCAAATCCCATGTCAACAGAGACGACAGCTCGTCCTCACTAATTATGAAAATTGTGCTCATAGTTGCCGCTGTTACGGCGGATGTGGCCATTGCCGATGACAAGGCCTCGGGCACCAGAAACAGGATGGCAAACAGGATGGCGAACACGGGCAGCGAGGCGAGTCAGAATGTAAATGGTAAACGGCATGGCGACCGAAGGCTTAGCGCCTGACATGTGACGTAGTAAACTGGATCTGGCTCTGGCTCTGGATCCGGATGTGATGGCATTAGTCGATGCAGCGAATTGGAGCCTTTATGGCTTTAGGAAGTGCAAAACAAGGAATGCATTCCAGGGATTCCGCCATCTACACTCAAAAATCAGATGCACTCAATGTGTAAAAGGTATTGCTTGAAGCGATTGTAAATAAATTACAATAATTCCTATTAAAAATAATATGAAAATATTTAAACAAGGACTAGTTTAATTTGTCTATCTCACTGTTTTCGCAATACTTCCCAATAGATATTAAGGTTGATCGGTGGCCTTACAAATTAATTATAAAAACATCTCATTTCTATTTATGTAGATTTTTAGCTGCAACTTGTTTTCTGCATCAAACAGAAGACTAAAAAATAGTCTACTGTAGTAGTAAGTTAGTCCTAAGCAACACTGTGCAATATTAGATTTAAGTATTATACAACACTATGCTCACTCTCACGAGAGAGCATGAAGGAAGAGGATCTTCAATAAAGCGGCAGTTCAAGTTTGGCTGCAAAGGAAACATCACGTGTGTGTGCGCTTACTAAACTATGAAAGCGGCTGTTAAACTTAAAGCCATTTAAAAATCAATGTTATTTTTGGCAGTGCCTGCATTGAAGAGTACTCACCACGCCGACGGAGAAATAATTGTTGATGATGTTGTAGGGAACGGTGCAGTCCTTGTCCGATTGCACTTTGATGGGCTTCTGTTGCTGCTCGAACTGGAGATGTTGCTGCTGTTGGTGTGGCTGCTGCTGGTGTTGCTGCTGTCCGGGTGCACTTGATGAGGCATTCGGTGTTGTGGGCGTGATTGGTGTTGCCGGAATGCTGTTGCTGTTGCTGCCCCTGTCCCTCTTCATCTCCTTCTCCCTTTCCCTCTGCCCGCCGTTACCATCGCCATCGCCATCGCCATCGCCCGTTGGATCGTCTTCATGGTCGGACAAATCCAATGACAATGTAATTTGCTGTTTAAGGATGTTGTTTTGCTTATTGCGCTGGCCATTATTATCGCTTTGATTATTCCCCACTGGCGTGGCTGTTGCAGCTTCCCCGATGGCCTCCGATGCGGCTCCTTGTTGATGTTGCTGCTGCTGTTGCTGATGTTGCTGCTGCTGCTGCTGCTGCAGTTGCTGTTGTTGTTGCAACTGCTGTTTGTGCTGCACGAGCAGCGTCTCAAGTGATTGCTTTTCCGTTTCGCCCGACCTCCGCATGGACGATTCTTGTCGGACTTGGGCATCGACTTCCGCTTCCGCATTCGCATCCGCATTCGCATCCGCATTCGCATTGGCATCGGGAGCTCGGTTGCCGTTGCAAGGACTGCCGCTGCTGGTGTTGCTGCTGCTGCTGCTCAAGGTGGCTCGCAGGCTCTTCCGCTGGCACTGCGTCTCGAACGTGGACATCGAAATGCTCTTGGTGGTGGTGGTCCGCGTGGTCCTCCTCGCCGTGGCCGTTTCCGTTTCCATTTCCATTTCCGTTTCCGTCTCGCTGGCCATCATTATCGACGTGGCGGAGGCGGCGGTGGTCGCCAGCTTGCTCTGCCGCTGGATCTCCTCGAAGCGCTCCATCAGCGACTTGTCGACCACAACACTCTGCGACAGCTCAATCACCTTCTGCATGTTCGAGTGCAGCGTCACCTGGGATTGAAGGGGAGAACTTGGTTACCAGTTATGGGTGGAAAGGCTGGTTCTGAACAAAACATGTTGAAGGAGCAGGCTCTGCTGGCAGCGTCAGCATCACGCCCTCCTCCATCCGGTTAACCGGCTAAATTAGTTTGTGTAATCGTTTTCCCCTGCCAGGAGGATTGGCGGATGGGGATTGGTGTGCGTGGTAAGCGCTTTGTGGCCAATAATTGGATTTTCCAACTGGCAGAGCCTGCCACGCCCACAAACGCCTCCTGGCCTCCTGGGCGGGTTATGGCCACCGTTAAGTATGCCAATTCCGATTCGATACGCAGCACATAGAAAATGCGAGTATATATGCGATATATTCAGAGCAGATGGAGTGATAAATGAAACTCGAATTGCCATAAACTCGAACGCTTTGCGGCGATCTGTTTGTGTAGCAGTGTAAATTGACCAAGGGTCATAAATTTCAATCTGCAACACAAGTTATTGCAGCGGTTTATTTGCTGGAAAATATGTGTATACAAGCAGCAAGCTTATCAACTTCCAAGCTTGTGCATTTAATGTTTTTAAGAGATAATATCAAATCGGAAACTAAATTGCATTTTTAAAGAGACAGCTCCATCAAACACCAAACTAACTTAAATTTTGTTCAATTTTAAAGGAGTAATTTCATGATGATTACTTTAAGATTAATACCTTTAAGAGATAAATAATATTTGCAAATCTAGAGTGATGTTTGTATGCTTTGTTCGTAATCAATTCCAATATTTATTTTTTAAAAAACTCTTTTAACAATTAACCAATAGTTTATTTTTGTTAATTATGAATTTAAAATGAAGTGATATTTTCCCTGTCTCAATTACTCACCTTGGGCCGCAGTTCATCACTGGGCGGGGCGTTGGTCACCTCGATGCTCCAGCGGTCCAGCATAACGGTGGATGCCCTTCGGATCTTCTCCATCAGCTTGGGGATGTTCTCCCCCTCGTATCCGCCTCCCCAGCGAAGGCAGCGGGCCAAGTCGTTGCCCGTTCCAAGTGGAATCACTCCAATGGCAGGCTGGCTGGCCAGTTCGATGGAATCTGTCGGGTGAACATATGCCTTAAGTCCTGATTCTCACTTTAAAAATGTCCCAGAGTCTATTAACATTTTATCTTAATGGAAACATCAATTCAAATTATTGATTTTAGAAAACTAAAATTAGACTATTATCGTTAAATCATGGTTGTAGTGATTTACAAACATAATTTAGCATCCCATAACACATAATATTGGGCCACTTATATGAACGCTAATTGCAATGATTTTTGGGGTGTTCAACAAGGTTTTATATCAAATATTTGTATTTGTTTGTATATTATTTGTATTTGCTTTCTCTATAGTATATTTAAATAGTTAACTTACCCATGGCCTCGAGGACCCAGCCGACGGTGCCGTCGCCGCCGCAGCAAATGACCCTGAAGTTGGGCAGGTCCTTGAAGAGCGTGAGTCCTGGCAACGAGAGCGGAAATCAATCACCGTGCTAGAACGGCCATCACTCACACACACACACCCTCCTTGGGGCCGCCCTTGGACAGGTCGTACACCTGGCGCGGATTGAGCATGTACTGGAACTTCCGCAGGATGCGATCCCCCTGGCGACCGCCGCTCTTCGGGTTGACGAACACCAGCAGAGGACAGCTCAGCTCGTCCGGCGGCGTGATTTGGAAGTGCGTGGCCTGGTGGTGATGCATTTGGGATTTCTGGTTACGATTTCAGCGAATGTCAGGGAAATTGATGGGGCGCAAAGCAGCAGTTCCAATTGTTTCGTTTTTCGTTTTTCTTTTTTTTTTTCATTTTGGTGCGGGGAATTCAATTTGGAAAAGGGTTTGGGTTAGTTAGCCAATTTTAGCAATGGGGTAATGCTTTCGAAATGTTCATTTTTCAGACACTTTATAAAATGTGATATATTTGGTAGTGAATTCAATAACTAAAAGGTTTTCCTTTCTTTACCAAAAGAGTATTAACAAAAGGGAAAGCATTCGTAGAAACTCATTAATACTTTAATCTAAGACCTAAGTATTGCCATAGTAATTAAATAAGTTATTTAATAAAATGTTAAAAAATCTTTGAGGTATGTAAGTAAGCAAGTCACAGTAATATAAGTACACTTTTTTTTTTTAGAAATTGTAAATTTACTTTAATATGTGAAACATTTAAAAAAGGAAACTATTTTGTTATAGCAAAAGTATCAAATTTAGTTTCAACCAATTTTTTAATTGGAAAAGGCGAGGATGCAGGTTTAAGCAGACGTGAATTGAACCACATATTAGGAAGTCTACCTTATGGGCCTGGTTGACTGAACGCTGGCGATCCAGGACGGCGGGACAAATCGCCGTGGGCGGGACAATCAGCTCGGAGTATTCCCCCAAAGTGCACTCCTTCTTCACCGAGGAGGCGCATCGGTTGTGGAGCTGAAATGGACAATGGGATGGGTAAACGAATTAGGTTAGTCGGAGGGGTGGGGATATCGTGGTGCTGTACAAATTTCGCGCTCTTAAATTCAATTTCCACTTCATTGCTGGCCAAAAGCCACTTATGTCGGAGAAGTAGAGCTGGAGTCGGCGGGCTCTCGAGCGCTCACTGCGCCTTAATGAATCCGATTAAAAGTTTGTTAGCGCCGACTACTCGACCCGCGGTGCCGAAAAAATGGTTAATTTTGGTCTAAATGAGATTTAGCGCGGATTTTCATTTAAATACCAATTTGGCTAAAGTGATTTCTTGGCTTTTTTGCTAATGGTCTCGCCTCATTCTTTCTATCTTTTTGCATATTATTTTCTCACAGCTGCGGCCTTTTAAATTGATTTGGAGTTGGCCATCCGCTGATGACTAGGCTATAAACTTTTTGTTTCTAATTAAATAAACCAACAGGGAGAATGGAGCAGAGGTATAATACTTTGTTAAAAAGTATTTGAAAAAAGTAAAAAAAAACTAACTTTTAATTAAGCATAATACTAGTATTTAAAAACAGTTTAATTTAAACTCATATGAAACAAATAAAGCGATTGTTTACCATTAATTGCTGATTATCGTAAGTGGTAGTTAACGTTTTTTCCTTTTAAATTTAATTTAAAATGGAATCAATTTAATAATACATTGAAAAGATAGGGCTGAGGGAAATCTCCACATGGCCGAAACAATATTGCAAATTGTAGATGACAAGCTTAGAATTCGTGTAGTAAACAGAAGTGGATACTGATACTCTGGCTTGGGAAATGCCATCAGGTAAAAATTTGTGTGGTGAGGAATTTGATGTCGGGGAAGAGCACGAATACCACATTCCGTCTTATCGGTGGCACAGCTTTGAGCACACCCAGGCACATCCACTCAAAATGCAAAGTTATTGACTGTCAAAAGCGTTGGCAACGTTTGGCTTACAAAGTATTTGCCGATGCAGCAGCATCCAAATCGAAGGACCAACTTTCCCGCTCCGGCAACCCGCTCCCGCCGTCGGCGGTCCTCCGGCAACAACGAATTCGGCATTATCTCCGCTGCACTTGTCAAAGACACAGGACACAAAAGTTGGTGGCATGCAACGGCAACGGCAACGGCAACGGCGGCAGCGGCGCAATTTGCTCGGAACGTGACAATTTGCCAGCCATAACGAAGTTGCCAGCTCATGTGTGCCCCGGATGGGATCCGGGCTCGTGGATGCCGAGTCCCAGGTCCGGGAGCTCGGGGGAATCGCTACTGGATGTGTTTTCGGTGGGGCTTGTGCTTCCTGCCTGCCGGGTTGCGAATCACAGCTGCCGACAGTGGCTGCAACAAAACTACGCACCGAGTGCCGGGCCAAAGGCTGCCTTGTTTTTCCGAATAATTGGGATTTTTGTTTCGAAACAATGCCGGCAATCCCCGGCGAGACAGAGCTGATTCGGTCTCGCAGCTGATTGATTCTAGCTCGATTAACTAGCACTTGCAAATCCGTCAGTTCAATCTTCAAGCCAAGCCAACAGAAGGTAACCGAATTCGTTTACTACCGAAAAGTTTGTTTCAAGAAATAGTCACCGATTGTTTGCCAACAGACCGCAAAGGAAACTCCTGATTAAAATGTTACAAAATTGTATGGTTCGTTTGTAATTCTTATTTGGTGTAGCCTTTCAAAAGAAAATAATTGCTTAGAAAAACTACTTTTAAGTTAACTGCATCTACTGGAAAATAGTTAATCGTTTCAGGTATGTATTGGATAGACTTATTGAAACCTTCTAATGGTATACTTTATAAAATTATTAAATTTAAAGTTTAAATTTGAAACAGCTCTCACTCATTCTATTGAACTCACCATCATGTGGCACCAGCGGCAAGTGAGTCCCGTGATTCCGTGGTAGGCCTTTATCCGCTTGCGGCACTTGGAGCACCTCCCGTAGCAGTTGCCCTCCACCCAATGGTGCAACAAATCGCCGCCGCACTTTGGCTTCTTCGATTTCACATAGGTGGTGATGCAGGAAGCGGGCGCATGTTGCACGCACCGCTCGTGAACCGTGTACTTGCACACTGTTGAATACAAAACTATAGTTAACACAATTCAAAAGTATTTATATTGGCCCAATTAACATTCCTAGTTTTGAACAAATAATTCAAATTTTTATAAAAACCTTTTTGTGGCAAATTAATTTAAAACCAAACTGATTCTGCTTTTAAAGGATTCATTTTAATTACAAATAGAATGCCATTAATAATGACATTTTCATGTCACTTCAAATGAAGTGAAAAGACGAAAATTATTTACATTGTAATCTGCGCAATGAAACCCAACACTTATTATGATGTTTTACTCACACATTTGACGGAATGTTGTATAATCAAGTGAAGCCGAATACCAATTTACACATTTGAAATCGGATTAATTTTGTTTTGTCATGAGTAATCATCTAATATTATTATTAGCTTATAGGGAATCAATGCAAGATAAATGTCTAAAATAAGCCACAATGCTCGAAATGGTTGTATAAATGTTATATGGCAATAAATTTCCGTGACAATTTATTTAATATTTTAGATTTGGTTTATAGATGAAATCCAAGGGAAACGAAATGTACAGATTCCTATCTTCAGACACGGTCACTTATAATTAAGACAAATTTATTGTATTTGACATAATTATCATTCTTAGTTTGACCAAATAATTTACATTTAAATAAAAACTTTTTTGTGGAAATTTATTTAAACCCAAACTGATTCTGCTTTTAAAGGATTAAATTCAATTAAAAACGTTTTTATTAAAATTTTCATGTCACATCAAATGAATTAAACGAACTAAATCTCTTTAATAACCGGCAAAAACTATTTACATCGTAATCTGTGCAATGTTATCTAAATCTTATTATGATGTTTTACTCAAACATTTTACGGAATGTTGTATAATCAAATGAAGCTTAATTACAGTTTAGACAACCGAAATCGGATTACTCTGTTTTGTCATGCGTAATCATGAGTAATCATCTAATATTGTTATTAGCTTATAGGGTATCAATGCAAGATAAATGTCTTAAGTATGACATAATGTTCAAAATGATTGTATATATTTGTATATATTTGATATGGTTAACAAATTTCTCTAACTAATTATTTTAGATTTGATTTATAGGTGGAACCTAATGGAAATAAAATTTACAATTTCCTATCTTGAGACACAGCTATTATTAGCTGAAATATCCCACCACATCGTTGTTAAAAATAGTTTGTTCGAAAACTGGTAACATAAATTGAACGACTTGGAGGTTTATGGCTTCTGTATGGCTTTAAAGTTACTTCGGCGAAAGCTGAGGCAATTGAAATAGACAATTTCCTATCCTCCTATCCCTCCACAGATACCACACAAAGATAACCATCACAGATACTCACGCACACAGCAGAGACCCTTCTTGCCGAGACCCACCAACATGTTGAGGCAGAGGTTGCAGTACGCCGGCTTGCTGAAGTGCTTCAAGCGCCACACGTGGATGCCGTCCTCCTTCAGCGTGGTGCTGTCGACACCTGGGGAAGATTGAGGTGCAGCGATTGCAGTGGAGGAGGTGGAAGGAAGGGAAGACGGAAGATGGAAGATGGGACACGGGATACGGAAGGAGAGTTGTCACTTTGCATAAGCGTACGGAAGGGCGGCGGGGATGCCGCTTGAGGCAACTTTTCCTCCCTCTGCGCCACCTGGCCAAATGACTTGATTATTACGGCAGCAGCCAACCAGTCACAGATCAAGGCATTCAGCCGGCAAAGGCGCATTTAGCAGGGGGACGAGCCGCACTGAGAGAAAGTATCGCAATCAATGCGTTTTTGTTCATATACTAATTGTGAAATTATTTATCAAGCAACAAAGTTTTTTATTACCTTCGAATTCATTTGGTTTAATGCCAACATCATATATTTACTTTTACTTTAGCAATTATATTAATGGAATGTCAAGAAAATAATGATAGTTTTCAGCATTTTTAACGTGTTTTCAGAATATTCAAAATTAATTTATGTTCAAAAATTAAATAAATTATTAATGGTTATAATAAAAAGTTATATGTAAAGAACATTTTTGCATTTAAATATATTGATTAAGTAGACAGCAAAATGATGCATTGAAATACGCCATACATAGGAAGGTATTTGAAGATCTATTAGATACAAATAATGTCTATCGATTTAATTTTTTATGGCTTTACTCCATTGTCATTAGAAAGGCATTAACATTAAGACGGTCAAACATATTGATTGAAATCAAAGTGCACCTTTGTAAATGTGATATTTTCTCTCTGTGCAGAATGGAATATTACCCACCTAGGAGCACCAGGAGCGGAATGGTTGTCATGCCGCCCCGCTGCCACTCATCCAAGGACACCGTGCCGTCGGCATCGTAGTCAATTTCAACCATCATCTCCTGCAGTATCTGTAAGTACGAAAAGCGATTGCGGATTGCAGTGAGTGAAGTGATGGGGCTGACTGGAGTGAAACCAAAAAAGCGTAATTTTTAGATGGAATGAAACTTAATCTTCCTGTTTGAAATGCACTTCTCCTCGGTGGAAGGGAATGTAAACTTATTACCTTGAGTTCGTGGGCCAAATGCATTTCCTCCAGAAATACTTCTTAAAGAAACTGGCTTTAAGTCACCTTCAGGTATAAGGCAATAAATATTTTCCTCATCTTGTTTTATTACGTTTGTGATTCTTTGCCATAATGTAAAAGTGGAAAGCAGCCAAGGCTAAGGGAAATCCAAGCAGATCGATGCGGTACGAGAGTCTTGGCGCTATCAAATATTCAGGGTGGAGCGAAAATTTCATTTCCAAATTTATTCAACTTCCGAATCCCTTTTGTTTTTCTTAAGGAATTTCATACTGCTCCGGAAATGAATGCCAGAATTATGCAACTCATTAAGTGCTTTGATTATTTGTGTGGCGCAGACCGGAAAGCGAAAAGGATAATGGGCCAAAAGGGCTGACCCGAAGTTGGCTTTCTGGCAGGACTTGGCTAAAAATATTTTGATTAAAATATTTTCTGTGTCTGCCTAGAATTTAAAGTATGCGCCAGTCATAAAGTCACGATGCCACTGGAACTGGGGAACCTCTCGCTTTTCCACCAGCGGAAAAGGAAGTCGGTCGAGGACGGTGGGCGAGGGGAAGGGGGAGGGTGGGACCGGCGGATCGGCGGGAAACGCGGCTGGAATCATTCCGTTATAGCCAGGGGTATTTTGTTAATTGAGTTTTGTGGCGCTTTGACTTTATTTGCGGTCGCAGTTCTTTCTTGTTTTGTTTCCCTTCCATTCTGTACATATTTTTTGCTTTGCCTGTCAACGTTGAAGGGGTTTTCTGGTTGCCAGAGGGGGAAGGGGAGAGGGGAGAGGGGAGAGGGGAGGGGAGGGGGGTTCGCTTTAAGCTTGTTCATTTGACGCTGGCGAAACTATTAAGTCGCCTATGCGATGTGGTAGCCGCGGCAGCTCCACAAATTTGCGGTCGAAGTAAAAACCCAACAGAGCACACCAGGGGAAAAACTTTGTTTACGCGAATGGAGGAAAAAAAATCCTTTTAGTTACTGCCTGGGAATAAAATTTTTAGTAATTCGTTAAAAACCCATTTAAATACAAAACGAAGATTTTACACAATAGTTTTTCGCTAAAAAAGTTCTATTCGAGAAGGAAATAAAGTGTGATTTAACAATTCCACTTATTTTTATGATAATTAATTGCCTTTTACTTGCATTAATAAAAAAATTTTACCACAAATCATTTCAAAACTTTTAAGCAGGGGACAAAATTAAATTTAAAAGTGTGCTTAAATCACCGGATATTTAATTTATTGACCTAGTAATTAATATACTAAAATCTCGTGTTTAAAACCGAGAATAATTAGAAAGTGGCATGCAGAATGTTGAATGAATAGTAAATGTTACACAATATATATTTGCACCAGCTGTTTAAATTTTAACAGACTGTAAGCTTTTTAGATCCTTTTTATCGCTTCTCAATCATCAAAGATTTCGTTAAACCTGTTAATTTTATTTGCTGAGCTGAACAACTAATTAGAATATTTTTCTTGCCGTGTGGCTAAGCTGGGACTATCGGCGAAGTTGAATGTCCAAACAATAAAGCGAAATTAATTTCAAGTGTTTTTTCCGTTGTGTTTTGTTTGGTGCTTTGTTGTTTTCAGTGCTGCTGAAAATGTTCGTAAGTAATTGAAAAAGTTTTATTGGATTGGATTGGGTCAATGAGTAGTTGAACGCTTTTCGGGATTCGTGACCGCCGAACGGACGAGCAGGACGACTGTGAAAAGGGCTGGATATACTACACAAGTAGTATTATATATACGTATGGGTCTGGGTGCAGTGGGCGCTTTAAGTGGATTTGCTGGGCATCGATTGCAGTGCAATCGCGTAATGAGTTTTTAATGTAAGTCGGACTTAACCGGACGGCACTCACCGGACGCAGTTCGCTGACGTCCCAGCCGAGGTATTCGGCCACGGCCATCATCTGGTTGACAATGGCGTCCATTTCGGCCGTGTCCAGGACACCGTTGCTGTCCGTATCGTACAGCCGGAACATGACTGCAACGCAATAAATAAATAAATAAATAAATGAGAGCCAGAGCTGAGATCGAAGGTCGCCGTTTGGTCTTACACTCCAGCTTATCCTCCGGACGGCCAGCCTCGAGCAGTGATAAATAGCAGACGACATCCTTCAGCGGGACCTTCAGTGTCAGCGGATCAAAATGGGAAAGTTTTCGCGCCAAGAGCTTGATGTCAGCTGCAAAGGCAAAGGAGGAGATTGAGTGGGTGGTGGGTGGTGGGTGAGTGAGTGGATGGTGGAATAAAGGGTTTAAAACTGCATGTGCCAGTGCATTCATTAAGTGCTCTGCACTCCGAGTGACAGAGTGGCCGCCCCTCATTATTCTTAATGCCATCGACAGTCGACAGTCGACAGCCGACAGCCGACAGGCAACGGCCGACAGCCCATTATGCTTAATGTTAATTGCCAACATTTGACCGGGCCAAAAGCCAGCATTTCGTTATGGCTCTTAATGAACTCGGGGCCCAATTTGTTTCGCAGTTTAAGGCGAAAGGCCGGCCACTTGCCATTTGCCACTTGCCTTTAATGCTTTGAGCCTGCGACCCAAAACTTTTCTCATTCCATGCTCCAGATACTTTGGCTCGTTCAACTTTGTTTTGCCATAATTACAAATTTATTCACCTTTTTTCCTAGTCTCCCTGGCAGTGCTCGCCATTGATTTGCAGTCGATTCCTGGCTAATTACATACTCAACTGAAATCAAAGCGCTCTGAACGGCCCGGCAAATTGTTTAGAAGTTTTCAAAGGAAGTTTTTCTCTGTTTGGTTTGGTTTCTTTGTGTGCGCGGGAGAATGAATGCATGATTTCCATCTTTTATTATTTTGACAGGCCATTTGTGTGTGCTGTTGATGTTGTAATTTATATGTTAATGCAGACAGTGCGATAGCTTCCATCTGAGCTAGGCAAACAGCCGAAGAATACACGGAGATGGTTCTGTTTTAGCTAATTATGTTTGCCTAATGTCGGAGCCTTTGTTGGCAATAAATTAAAATATATACATGCCGCGCACAATGCTAATATTTGCCCCTCCTCCGCCTTCTAATAACTAAATGAGGCTGTCGGTTTCGCGATGAGTGCAGGGAAATTCAGGACTTGTGCAAACAGGCTGAGTGTGTGGGCAGGATCAATGTCAACTTATTTGCCGGCCTACATTTCGACTAATAAATTTAATTCACACACATACACACACAAACACACACACACACCCGCGCGGAATACAAAAAGCAAAGCAAAACTAATCCAATTAGCGCTTAAGGCGCTCAAACACACACACACACGAAGAAAGAGGGGCCCTTGTTGTACTTAATATATAATGCTAATAGGAAATTCCTGACTGGTCCTCGTCCTTTGCCTTTTGCGTAATTTCCTACACAGAACAAAAGGTTCCAAAACAAATTATTCTGACAGGAATCAAATAGTTACAAATGTAAAAACAAAGGATTTAAATAATGTGATGTGGAAAAAGTACCCCTTGAAACTAGGTTATCAAAATTTCATTTATAGTTGCATAAATATCTTAACATTTTGTTATATTCTTCGTCAGTTTTTTAGAATTTGCAGCTGAGGGGTATATAAACTTTCTTTGCTGTGTACTCATCTCTCTCAACTTTCAGAACAATGCCTTCCAATTGCTGGCAAAATGCGTGAAACTGTTGGCCAGCGACAAAAGCGAAAAAAAAAACGAGGAAAAAAAGGCGAAATTTACGTTCATTAATCATTCTCGTACACATTTCAAACGAAGCGAAATGAATGAAAGCAAAAAGGGAAACAAAACGAGGGCGCATAAAGGCAGAAACAAAAAAAATACCGCTGCATACTTTCAGGCCGCAAGTGCGCCTCGCTTTGTCTGTGTGCGTTAGAGTGTCCTGGCGCTTTGCTTCTGCACTGGTGTGGGTGTTGGTGGTGGTGGGGGTGGGGTGTTCGTCTGTCCGTGTCTGTGTGAGCAATAAATGTTAATTTTACGCAGGCTTCGCATTTTACGAGTTGCGACTTCGTGCGATGCAAAAATGTTTCTAATTGGGCGTTGATTTACGACACGATCTCTGAGACAAGAGTCGCTCAGCGCCTTTTTTTCCAGTTTTTCTCTGTTGTTTTTGTTCTGACAGGAAAAGTGTGGGGGAGGGGGGGTGTAAGCCCGACTTCCGGTGCCAAGTTTCGCCTTTTCTAAGGATTGCAACTTGGGCGGCGGTCCCTCGTCCATAATTTATGAACTCATGAATTACCGAATGTCTGCCTTGTTTTCCTTCCGCGTTGATATTTGCTTTTAGTAGTCGCTAATTAGCAAGTTCGCGAGCAAGTTAACTAAGTAATGGTAAACAAGCAGAGGATTTTCGACTTATGTACTTCGTTATCCTGCTGAGCTGCAGTTACACCTTTTTTTTAATGGGCGTTACGATTAACTTTGGGACCAGGAAGCGTAATTAACCTCCCTTAAAATAAATATTCTTAAAATATACTTCAGCTAATATATTCAAGTAAAAATATAATAAATTCAAAATATTATAATAATGTGGTAATAACACCATTTCAAAATAAAAAAGTCATATAAACACCAACTGCGTATTTAAAATGTTTAACTGATAACAGTTGTTAGATTAATATTCCGATTAGTATAATGAAGTTTTCGAACAATATTGATTCTATTTTCCAAAGAGCAAATCTCACACATTCGCTGTTTGTCTAACAACGCACCTTTTCCATTTGAAATCATACGAACGCCAGCATTTCAAATCCTGCACTTTAGCCTTTTAAACATGTAAAACAATTCCGGCAATTGCTGAACAATTGCTGCTCTCTCTCTCTATTCAGAAAGCAATTACAAAGTTAGTTTTTCCCGAGCAAATGGAGCACTCCGCACACAGACGGTTAATTCCGCTTTTGAATTGTTCTCCCGTTCGTGTGTGTGTGTGCGTGTGTGTGTGTGTGTGTTAACGTACGAGTGTGCTGGCCAATCAGTTGGCCAAGTTGCACTGCCAGCTGCCAAGATGGTCGACCTCCTTTCGGCGGGGATTGGGAAGCATCAGATGCTGATTGCACAATAACCGCGTAATTGGAAGTCGCATGCACATCGCACATCGCACATCGCACATTGTAATTCCAGCTCACGGAGCAGAAAGGGTTGCGATGATATGGGGACATGCCTAATTAATACTCACCATCAATTTTGCAATTAACCGAATTGTTGCTCTTCTTCGAGGAGTTGCGCGACATCTGCGAGTGGTTCGTCGCCGAGTGGGAGGGACTCGAGTCCACGGAGCGGCGGGCAGGATTGCTGGCCTGGAACATGCTGGGTCCGCTGGCCAGAGGACTCGGTGTCACGGTGAGCATCGGGTGGACGCTGCCTGTTAGGAATGCCAGCCAATAAAATAGATATGTCAAACACGTGCCACAAGCGAGATGGGTTCCTGCTGAACTCAGAGGAAATGGGCCTGGCGTCCTAAGCTAGCGAGCATACTCTTCAAATGTTGGGCTTTGTACATTAATAGTAGTTTCATAAAAAATAAACAGGCATTAAGAAAAGCTAACTTTAAACAAGTTTGTAGACGAGATAAATACATATTTACTGCATTACTGCATATTTACTGCATTATTAAAAAGGGATCAAATGTACTTTGATAGCTCTAGCGAATAAATATTTAAAGAATAATTATTTTGTTGTGAAACTTACACTGCTCACTTTCCGAATTATCGGACTCATTTTTTGAATCATTTTCAACTGTTCATTTAAGGGTATTTTAAAGGTAAAAGAACAATTAAAAGAACAATGTAACAGGGTTTCGAACAAAACAAAACTATAGAAATTATAGCTTTTATAAAAAAATAAGAATTTGTCGTCTTACTTGATCAATTCAATAGGAAATTATTTATAAAATCTAAGAACGTATTATCGTAGTTCTTAAATACTATGATATTTCGTTTCGTCTTTCATAAGTTCTCAGGAATATTTTCCCGTTTTCCCCCCCGCACAACTCACCCGTTTTGCTGGGATCGTGCGAGAGATGTCCGCCCAGAGAGTGCTGTAATTTATCCGTGATGCCGTGGATTTTGTCCACAAAACTGCTGCGGGTCTGTGTGTGTCCCTCGCCGCTTGCCACACCCCCTGCACCGACTCCGCCTCCCGTACCGCTGCACTGCGGCATCAGCTCGGCGATGCTATTGATGTTCGGTATGGAGCCTAATTACAGGCGGTTAGAATGTGGAGCAGCGGGTGGCGTGGTGAGGTGGGGAGCCCAAAAGAAATGTTCAGCAATTATTCACATACACACACACACACACACACAGACAGATATAGAGAAAAGTGGGTGGGAGGGAGGAGAGCTTACCCTTGGTGTGCGACGTGACCGGAGCACAGGCGGCCGTGCTGCTGATGGCGGCCATTTGATTAAGTGCCCGGCCATGCAGCTGGGCCTGGGTGACATTCGGCTTGAGGAAGGACACAAACAAGTGCTTGGCCAGGTCCAGCGGGGCCTCGCAGTCGAGGAAGGCGTCCAGGAAGCGCCGGAACCCATCGAAATCAATGTCCTGCGAACGAGTTGCGAGGCATAAATAAAACGTACCCATCCAATGATCTATGGAGCCCTTGTTTTCCCCACTTCCTAATAAGGCAACAACCATGTGCCGGGTTTTATTTGTTCTTCGAGAAAAGCATTTAAGGAATAACAAGATTCCAAAATCTACTCTGTACTATATTTATTTTACAACTGTTTCTTATTTATTTCTAATTTCAAATCAATTCATTGCCATACTATACTATCTTTTAATATGAAGTCATTATTACTCCACAAAGACGATTTAATGGGATGGAAGATATTATATATTAGTCTTTATTTGACATCTACAGTAATGTCAGCAAGTCAAAGTGGACCGTTAAAGAGTGCAACCAAATGTGATGCATTGTTATTTGATGAAGTGCTGTATCTGAATTGAAGAACCATTTACCGACTTCAAAAGGCAAGCCCATAAAATGTTTCGAGATGCAAGTCCTGAATTCAGAGCACCTTTTTTCCCTCTGCAGAGCATGTGATAAATCCACCGCAGGCCACTCACAAGTGACAAGCTAAAATGTGTGCAAAACACTCGTCGTCGCATAGTTTTTTCCCACTGCCATTTTCCCCACTGCCACTGCCATTCTGCTCGCTTTTTCAGCCAAGTTTTACGAGTGGTATCGGGTTTGTTGTGACAGAAAGGAGATTGAGGCGCAGGCGGGCGAGCAGAGCTACTTATGCAACATAATATGTTGACGTTATTATGGCGAAAAACAGTTTGCAGTTGGCTTCGAGGGAAGCCGCGCATTTCTCATCTCGCTTTGGGGGAATGAGAGGAGCGAGGGCCGTCATCGACTTTATTACCGCTGACAACGGAGCGTATGATTAATAAGTGCCGGTCATATTGTGACACATTCGGAGATGATTTTCTGCGTGGCAAGTGAAGCGCGAGTACATTTATCTCCCGACAAAGTTATGGCGCTCGGATATCAACAAGGCGGCTGTCCAATTTGCGGCCTAATTGAAGGTCAGATATCCGTGCAACAGCCAGTAAATCCCCATCATTTGGCCGAGATTCCTGCTTTAAAACCTCTCTCTTGTTTTACGCTTATGGAATACATAATTCCGCTGTGGGCTTTCGACTCGCCCATTTTATTTACATTTGTCCAGTGCACTGAATTCGCACATAAATCCGAGCTCCGTCTGGAAAAGGTTCAATGCGGCTCGTACGTGCCGGGGAATGTCCCCCAAGGATCTGGCGCCTCTTTATTTGCCATTTGCCAATGGGTTCGGTTCGGGTTCGGGAGTGGGGCTGGTTGCCAAGTTTTTATGGATGCAGAGCGGATGCGGAACCTGGGCGAATGGGGATCGGGCAAATTACATGTCAACACCACGTGTAATGTCAATACATTGACAGCTGCGGCGCGATGCTTGAATCAACAATGCGACATTGATAGACGCCGGCATTCGCCGACTTTGATGGACGTAGGCCTCCCGGTTGCACAAGGCGCACGGTGGCTCTACGGATTTTACAGCTGCCAGTTGCCAGTTGCCAGTTTCGGTCTGCGTTACAGTTTACATTTTACCGGGCGGGGAATAACAGCTAATCAAGGCCAACGAAGGCCCTCGAAGGAGGGAAGGAGGCAGGTTGGATGCGATTAATTGCGCAAGAGGCAGCCACTCGTGTCGCAAGTAATGAAATAATCAACGGGAACCGGGGGTTACAGATCCCAGAGAATACATCCATCCTGCTGGAAATATCTGCCTTTATTATCGGGACCCATCACGAGCTGCTGCTCCTTCAGCTGCTCTTTTGCGTCGTTTTAAATTTCGTACCATAAAACAAAGTAAACGAGCGGGGGATTGTAGCACTACGGGCTTGGAATCACACAGGGGAAAATTGCTTAAAAAGACCCTAGTTTATAATGGTATTCAACAAGACATATGCAAACATATTATTTGTGTATATAAGATGCATGAAACAATTCTAAAGAGCACAAATAATGTGCAGTAGCTATTCATATAAATAAACATTGGTTCTTCTTAAAGCTGATTATTCTTACTGAACCTTTAATTAAGAAATCCGGTTTAAATAAGTAATTTCCCGAAAGGAGAACCTCTTATTCAATCGAAAAGTGGATTAATCCTGTCTTGATAGGTATTCTTCTCACTGTGAGTTAACTAAGCAAATAGAGCCGTGCTGAAACGAAATAAAATCAAAATAACTAAAGGCCTATTGACACTGCTCTGAATTTTCCCCTGTGTACTCAACCACTTGGCGGCTGTTTGCCGGATCCTTGGATCCCTGGCCATAATGAAACCGAATCCAGGCAAATGGAGGTTTGTACTCGTGTCGTCGACTGATACCACAACAGCATCGAGTATCGGGGCATCGAGCATCGAGCAACGAGGCTTCATAGCTTCATAGCTGCGATGCCTCGAGTGGCAACGCAAACTGCTTAAAGGCAGCGAGTGCAAATGGGAGCGAAACGCCTCAGCGGAGAAACATCGGCATATTGTAAACCCAAACACAGATACCCACACCCACACTCACACCCACAGCCATACCCATAAATTACAACCCAGCCGCACACACAAACACATACACACACACACACACGCACGAGCACTATAATAATGGCGCGAATTGCGTTAGCAAAATTTATTTTGCCAGGGAGGAGTAACGAGATACGCGTGCGAAAAACCCTCCCCTCTCCCCCTCTCCCCTCTCCCCCCTCTCCCCTCTCCCCTCTCCCCTCTCCCCTCTCCCCTCTCCCCTCTCCCCTCTCCCCTCTCCCCCTCTCCCCCTTTCCTCTTTATCTCCTCCTCGGGGCCCATTTCCCGGAACTTTCTCTATTCCCACAATTTGGGTCAAAATTGTAACACTGTTTTCCTCGCACCAACTGGTTAATAATTAAGCTTTAGCTTTTGAAAGCCTATTGTGTCCGTATAACCAACTTAAGTATAACAAATTTTGAAAGAGAAAAAAATTCTTCCTAGTTATTAATTATTTTATTTAGGTAACAAGTTTATTTTAAGATTAATTGTAGTCCTTCAAGTATTTTAAATCCCCTTTATTTCCAGAAAACACATGGCAAAAGGAATATGAGCTGCTCGAAAATATAATTGTCACCTCTATTGTTCCATCAAGTGTTATTATTGTGAGCTCCACTGTGTTTCGGGCTTCAATCTCCGCCAGCATTCCCACGAATGCGTTATGCGACGCTATGCGTGAGCGCGTGGCTTAATGAATAAATATTCAAGCACATTTCGGGAGTTCGGTGCGTATGCGTGATATTCATTACACGCTCTAATCACACGCACGCACTCGGAGCAGCGCATACGGGCCATTTGGCACTCATCTTCATCTTCACTCCATCCGGCGGATATAATCCGCGCTTTGCATTCATTATGCATCGCACTGTTCGGATCGTAAATTGTGACCATATGGGTGCTATTTCACTTGTATCTCGTTCACCTCGTTTTTAAAGCTCTCCCACCGATTGACCAATTGTTTTTGGGGAAAAAGCAGCGGGAAATGTATCATTTTTCATTGTCACCTGACGACAGGCCGCTCTTAATTAACTTAATTGGAGCAGCCGGGCTTAAGGGCGATCCCTGAGTGAGGAGAGAAAAGTGAGGAGAACAGGACAGGTGTAAGCTGCTTACTCGGAATAGGAAGAATGTTGCCAGGCAGCCAGGCAGCCAGGCACTTGCCGTGGCATCTCAATTCATTTCGCTCACTGAAATATTTACGGGAATTACTTTCGTTCGGGAAATTCCCTGCAATGACAAACAGTGAGTGCTGGAAGTAATCGAACATCGAACATCGAACATTCCCGGGATGAAGGGAGCTGGATATCAAAGTGAATTCCTTGGAATCATTCACTCGCGTTCACGTTCACATTCGAGTTGAACATGTGGAAAGACCCGGGGGTTAGCCGGAGTGACGGAAACTTAATTATACTTTTTCCATTTCGTTACGCTGCCGAAACAAAAGAAGGAAAACGGGAAGGGGAAAGAAAATTGGGTTTCATTTGCATATGCTGCTTCTGGCTTGAATGATTTCAAAGTCCCGAATTAAAAATTTATATTACTATGCAAACTGCAGGTCCAGCAGCTTCTTGGTGACCAGGGGGATCTGGGTATTTGTGCCCGCTTGTCCCCAGCGGAGGAGTAACAATTTATGCAGCTCCAGTGGCTCCAATATCCCGCTGTAACCGAATTGATGGCGTTGCAGGCAGTTTCAAATTAATTTAGTATGTATAAACTTGTCAGGATATTCATCCTGGGACAAGGGCGGCCAGCTCAGCTCCTGTCTCTCTGTTGGGATTCAATTTCAATTTGGCATTCAGGCGTTAACTTGAAAAGTCTGTGATTTATTGTACGTATAAGAAGATTTACTTTCAATCTTTCGCCCCACCTGGCTGCCCTTTCCTTTCCCTCCTTTCCCCTCCCCTTCCCCTCCCCTAATCCTTATCCAATGTGCTCCTTGTCAGTTGGACTATACTAGGCGAAAAGTCCTCTTAATTTACAGAACAACTTTTCGGAGTGGAAAACTATTCGATTTGGAGTTAGTGAACTCTCAATTGAACTACTATTTCAGGTAAATCCAATTGGATATCTGGGCTTAGAATGTCTGCTTTGCAGCTTAAATTGTAGGACATTCATTTCATTTTCAACACATTTGGGGGAAAATGATGCTACGTGTAAGTACAAAATGTAAGAAAATAACAACATATTTATTTATTGGCGTAGGGAACTTCTATACATAATTGAAATATTTACGTTTTTGACATTTTTGTATTGCAATGAAGTGTAATATAAAAGTTAACCTTTAGAAAGGGTAAATCATGTTCAGACAAAAGCTTTTGAATTATACACTTCATTTATTCTATATTTTCTTCTAAAACCGAATATTTTTCGCAGTGCACACACGTGAGCTGCCGTAAGCTGAACCGCCTTTCATCGGTCTTCCCAAGTCGCCAGGTCAGGGATTAGAGTGTAAGACGTAACCCGAACCTGAGTGGAGTGAGCTCTTGACTTCTGCTGTGAGTAGGGTCTCCCAGCTGATCCTGTCCTGCTTCTGCTTCTCCCAATGCTCCCACCTATCCTGACCCTCATCCGCTTTCAATTAATTGCAGGAGCAGGGCAGGACATTTCGGCAACACTTACCCCATCCGGAATGCACTTCGGTGTGCTGGCGGCACTCGGCGAACTAAACTCCCGCAGAACATCCTGCAGCTTTCGGGTGGAATCTGCAAGACAAGCGTTAGACAGGTGAAAGGATACTGGATACAGTGTACAGTATACAGGACAGGTGAGCGGTGAGCGGTGAGAGGTGAGTGGTGTAAGCCAGGGATTATGCAAAGTTCAGTTTAGCCGGGCTGCGCGAGTGGAGAGACGCAGGTTACAGGACACACGTCAATCGCTCGACTGGCGCCAGGTGGACTGAATCGACGTCTTAAGTGGAGCAGCCGAGGTGGACAGGTGTTGTTTCCCCCGAGCAACTCAGGTGGGTCAGCTGCAGCGCAGCGGGGATAATTAACTAATGGAAAACAAGTGGTTCGTGCCAGCAAATGCGGGTGGGTGGCAGTGGGTCGGATGACTCGGTTGACTCGCCGCAACAAATGCCCGGAATAAACTCCACGGGCGGCCTTCCGCCCGAAATGTTGCGCCCAGAATTTTATTAACCTAATGAGAGTTGTGTGTTTGCCAGTCTACAACCGCAATTCAGCAGAGTGTCTGCACTCGAGTGCAGTTTCGCTTTCAGAGTTCGAGCTGCTGTTCCAGCTCCCTGGCAACGCCACCTGCCGCTGACACTTTTGATGGCCCTCGCTCGGGGAGAACGACACGGCAGACTGGAAACAGTTTAACCGCACTCTAATAAGCACCTGCAGCCGCACCCATACTTGTACATCCTGTGCCACGCCCCCTTGCAGCAAGCTTGCAACCTCATGTTGCAATACGGGCTCCCCGGACTAAGCTGCACCCAAAAAAGGAGCTCCTTTCTCTTCAAATGCTGTTATCCGACCTCTTTCTATTTCGTTTTGGCAAATTGATACTGTGAGTTGGGAAAAACTTGATCGGATTTCAGCAAATTTGTTTCTTAGTAAGTGAAAGATTTTCCTTTCTTAAAATCGAATTTGCATATTTTTCCTCTTTTTTACAAATCAAAATTTGAGACCCAAATAAATAGGAATGAAATTGATGAATCTGAAATTTAAGGAACTGAGTTTAAAACTAAAATGAATTCACCTAACTGAAAACAATATAATTTGTTTTAACAAAAAATTAAATTCGGTACAGGAAAATGTAAATTAAAAATATTTAACAATCTAGTATACCTAATACTAATCCTAATAATAATATACGTTCTTTCTTTACGTTCTAGTCGAGCTTCTTCGACTTGGCAGTGGATGAAGTGGTGCTAGCTGCACTGGAAGAAAGGCTGCTCTTTTCCCCGCCGACGGAGCAGAGCTTAAGAAAGGTCCAAGTTCGCCACTTAGGATTACCATGTGTATGTGCTCCGTGTAAGATCCCATAATCCATAAGCTCAACATTCCCATTTGCCGTGCCGTGTAATTCCCACTGCCAGGCAACCCGGCGGATGAAGTGGAGCGAAGTGCTCACCCAAAGGTAAACTACTTTGTCATGTCAAAGAGCTTCGCTGCTGCAGCAAAGAATGCAAACAGTGCGCAGACATAACTCTGGGCGATGTGAGGAGCAGATGTGTGGCAAGGATGCTGCCACAGAAACGCTCTTAAAGATGCGCTGCTTAAGCTTCGGCTGTCATGAGAAATCTGCTGAGTTGCAAGTGCACGACAAGCGAAAATGTAAATGTATCTGCAGCAGTTATGGGATATGGGATATGGAATACGGGATATATACTCTCCACTCGCCTGGGAAACCAAAAAGGTGTGTGAATAGACGTGCTTACTAAAAAGGTAAATCGTATGTTTAACAATTTGTTTACTTTAAAGGGTTGTTTAAACAAGGACACATTAATTGCTGTAACATTTAAAGTTGTTTATTGGAATCAGCAATTTGAGATTCGTTTTACTTATGCAAGCATAAATGTATGCATTAAAAGTGGTTATTCAATTAAAGGGAATAAAAACAAAAAAGTAACTGGCCTGTCTGTCAATCGCAGGAAAAGTGAAAAATAAAGCTCTGTCCGATTTGCATTTTCCGGTTGTGAATGTGTGTGTGTTTGATTAGTGCAATTTGATTTACTGCTTTTCACTTACATGATGCCAACTCCTGCAGCTGCAAAAATTCGCGTGGCGATAATTTATCCCATTTCGGTGCTGCGATGCCGATATTCATTTTGCCTGTAAATATGCAATACATAACAAATGGTGACAAATTGTAATTTCCATCATAATGCGGGGCAATCAAGGACGAAAAGGCGGGGAGTGCGGACGTATAATTTATAGCATTCGCATTTCGAATTTGCATTTCCAGTTCGCAATATATGTAAGTGCCAAACTATCGACACAAGCCCCACAACCACACAGCTCCACAAAAATACGTGGGTTCTGCGTACGTGATTGTGGCATCGGCAATCAATATATTTTACAGTGTGTGTGTGTGCGATGAAAACTAAATTGCTTTAAAATGTTATCTCCCTCTCGCTTCTCTTCTGTCATCTCCCACGACCCATGGAACACACATCGCACATCTGTACATTCCCTGCGATATATTTAGCCATCCTCAAGTGGCCAGCGGATGGAATATCCTGTGATGCCTGTCTAAAACAGCAGAAAGCAACTTCACAGGCACAGTGGCACACAGATCTTTCTTCTGCTCTTCTTTCTCATTTTGATGTCTTTAAGAAGTATCTTATTAAATGCAAAAAAGTGGTTCAATAAAAACAACCGCTCGAAGAAGTAAAAGGTTGGGTCATAAAAAAAATATACATTTATTATTAATATGTATAATCATGTCTTAAAAGTTAAAAAATAAAACAGTTCATTAAAAAAGTTATAATAAAAAAGAAAACTACACTAATGTACAAGCTTCATTTTGATATTTTCATTGCATCTTAAAACTTTAAACAACAATGGCAAAATTATTATTGTCGTATAATGCAATTGCCAGCTTTGACACATTAAAATGATTATTCTCCTCCTTTTCTTTTACTTTTAAACATTTGCATAATACTTTTAAAGTCTGTTTATTTTTAGGAAAAGAGTTGTTCAAACATTTGTTTGTTCGTGAGTCTTCATAAAAATAACTGACCAACTTGATTACAACTAATTGGTAAATTGAGCCTGAAATATTAGGCTTGTGTAAGCTATATATATATACGTCATCTGAAATGCAAACTAAGTATTTCTTGTTCTATTCTTCAGTTAGTAAGAAGTGAAATTAAATTTTAGCCTCGTCTCTCATCTCTCAGCGCCTTTAAAAGCCCAGTGAAATGTCGCACGCTGAAAACAAGCAACTGGAATGGGTAAGAGTGGCCATTAGCCAATTTTAGTTTTCGCCATATGTCAGCTGGTGTGCCAGTATGTGTGTGTGTGTGTGTTAGTGTGCGTATGTGGGGTGTGTCGTCTGCCGTTTGACACGTCATTACTGGCATCATCATTATCGCATTACCTTAAATTGGTAAAGAGGCCTACCGGGGACTGTAAACGCAGTCTTGTCTCCGAGAATTAATTTCTAAAAACTAAAGGCACCTGCCAATAAGGCATCTTTCAAGTCCAAGCACGAAATATATTCCGCCTTAGGCAAACGACTCAAAATTCCGCTGATTTGAGGAAGCGGATGGCTGCGTCTTTCTCGTGTAAAGCTATTGACTTTTCGACCATCTAAACAAATTCTAACTTTACCAGGTTTGGTAACCATACAATAATAGGGAAGACCAAGCTCCGCTATCTCTTCAATTACGCCCATTTGCAACATCCTGCTCAATTTCGGCGTACATACTTTCTCCAACAGCTGGCGACACTGGAAAATGGCGCTGTTTAATGCTTCGGCTTCTCCACCCACATCTATTGCATGAGTTATTAAATTCGTTTTCCAAGTCCTTCTGTGAATGACGGGAAACAATTGATGACATTGCCAAGCTTTGCTTTTTCCTCAGCAGACAAGTCGTGGTGCTCCACCTCGACCTTGCTGCTAGCTTCGATAGTAGTTTCTAACCTGATATATTAAGGTTTTTTGGGAGAAGATCATATAGTCTCAAAAATTCTATACCTAAATAAAGATCATTTTCAAAGACGGTACTAGGTAAATATTTAAAGGTTTTTCTTGTCTCTCCATATTCTACGTCAATTTCCATTCTTCCTACTAGCTTTCTGAGGTCGTCCATCTGCTGTTTTGGCTTTAATGTTTAATGGTTCTTGTATCTTTTCTTTTTCTTCCCCTACTTTAGCTAGATCTCCTCCAATACAACTTATTGAGGGCCTTGAGGTCCACCAACCAAAAACAGTACGGTCTAATAAGCGAATCGGCAGAAATGGGATCGTAGGGATGAGAACAAATATATTTCAACCTTGAGCCTACAGCTTTTAACATTCTGCCAAAACCTTTAATTCTTCGGCGCTGCGAGACTTAGTTCCTAAGGGATGTTCAGAAAACACAGTAGGGGTTAAAATCTGAGGTAACTTTTAAGTTTACAATGCAGTAGAGAGCCGACATTGTTTGATACGTCCGGGGAAGTTGGTGATGCGACTAATGGTGCATTCACATCTGATCGGTCCATAGTTGATTTGACGCGAAGGGGCTCAAAGTCTTCGGTTTGAACTGCGACTTCGAACTGCCGGGCTTTAAGTTTTTGATTTCACGCAGTTGTGTTATATGAGGCGGCTTTGCAACCGTAACAAAATACGCGCCTCCTCTGTGCAATCTTGGTATCTGTGCCCTTCTTGCGGCAATTCCAGCATACTACAAGGGAAAAGGCGTCCACCTCTAATTCCCTTTGAGACCCATTCTTCAGAATCCGCTCTTGGATTCAAGCCTGGAGACTTCTCGTCTAAACGGTGTGTTTTTTTTTTATCCGTGCAGCAGCGCCTGACATCGTCTAAGAAAGCCCCTCGCGTCGATGACAAGTTCCTCTCAACTCAGATCTACTGAAGAAAAATGTCACTTCACATTCTTACTTTCACAATTTAGCCTGGGTCTCAAATTGTTTTGAGAATTCGGACAAGTTTTCGCGACGACCTGGTACTTCTAACCTAATCGACTAATACGTTTACACTATCGTAAAAACTATCAAAGATTCATTGGGCTTTTGTTTTCTTTTGATTAACTCTTCTACATCAATATCGTCCCTTTTTTACGAAATTGCAATAAATGTTAGGCGTCGATAAGACATAAATTCGTTGGCTTTGCCCTCGAATAAGACGCTGAAAACAAGCAACTGGAATGGGTAAGAGTGGCCATTAGCCAATTTTAGTTTTCGCCATATGTCAGCTGGTGTGCCAGTATGTGTGTGTGTGTGTGTTAGTGTGCGTATGTGGGGTGTGTCGTCTGCCGTTTGACACGTCATTACTGGCATCATCATTATCATCATCGCCAACATCCTCATCGTCATCGTTGTCGTTCTCGTTAGGATGGGCATAACCACGAGCCGCTGGCTAATCAATGGCATAATTTCCCCGCGGAATCCCTGTCACAGTTGTGACGTCACACAAGTTGATGGCATTTCGGGTAACGCACACACATTCACACACACATGACAATCAAACGCCCACGCTTACGCATTTACAGGCAAAGGTATGGTATGTTTCAGCCACAAAGAGCCAAACATATATACACACATCATATATACATATATATGTATTATAAAATAGAGGGGGAATTATATTTGATATACATGCTTATATATTTGTTGGCTTGGCTTTTCTGCGTTCCCAATTCGCTTGGCGTTTATTTTTACTCTCTGGCCATTTAGCGTTTTATTTATTCATTTCACAAATCTTTCTCTAAAGCTTTTGTCTTGCCCTCGTTATATTTAGCCGGCTATAATCAACTGATTGACTAACTTATCATTTCATCCACTGCCGAGCACTTGTCGCGTTAACTGCGGGAATGAAAAGTGGAGTGTGGAGAGTGGAGAGTGATATTTCACAAGCGATTTCCGCTTAATGCAAAAGTAGTTTGTCCCTTTTTGCTCGTTAAATCTTAATAGAGCCCCGCACCGCCATTATTCACAGCTCATTTGGCCTTAATGCCCGGAGCGCGTTAAGAGCTCCAACTATACAATGCCGGGATAATAAACTAATGAAAATGCAAATGAAACATACAAATAAATAGTGCAGCATACATGGCGTATGCGCAATCTGAATGTTAATTGCGCCTCTAATGGGTGGGTGTGTTTGTGTGTGTTTGTGTGTGTTCGCCTGCGAGTGTTTTTAAGGCATCATCATAAAATTCGCATTTTGGAAGTGGGATATCTGGATATTCTGCTCGTAATGGCCCTTGGCCAGTGGCAAAAACTTCAATAAATTGACTTGGATTTGTCTGTCGGTTGTCTTTGTTGGTCAATGGAAGCGCTCGTCCTGCGGCCCTTTGACATTGGAGTGCAAAAACCCAAAGGACAACAGAACGACAGAGCAGTAGGAGAGTTCAACGGACTCTCAAGTGCTGTGCTTTTTATGCTGTCCACATAAAATATTATTAGATTATGCTCTCCGTTCGCTCCACTCGCACACAATGAGCATCAGATTCCGATTCAGCTTGTCCTCGTCCATTTACGTGTTTATGTGTGTCTGCTTGTGTGTGTGTCTGTGTGTGTATTGGCCCTCTTATTGTTTTAGCCGAAACAAAATTGCCATAAAATCTAGCACATAAATGTCCGACACAGAACCATTTTCCCTTCTTTTATGCTTTAAATTGGCCCGCCAAATCATTATACTTCAACGGTCCACATTCCCTCTATCTTCGGTCGGAGCAATAATAAAAGTAAATCAAATAAAACAGCGGCATATTGCGTTTTTTATGGCCTTTAGCTTTGTGGCCCTGTTTAATGGCCGCCGCACTCTGATCGCCGGCCAAAAAATCATTTTTGCCCTGCGCATCAATAACCATTCCGTTTATTCAAAAATCAGCCCACCCACTTGAGTTCGCCTTTGAATTGTAATTAGTTAACGAGATTTATGAATTTATGAAACACCCAATCAGGCGATTTTAATTCACTTCAGGGAAGTGTTTTTCAGCACTAATTACTTTGAGAGCAAATAATAATATCGATGGATTAATGCAATCAGAAGGACAAATACAAATTCGATTAATCGTTAAATTAAAGTTAATCCAGAAAAATAACAGTTTTCAAAAAGGAATGTTTCCATTTTAATAAAATCACTGCAATAAACAAGGATGATAT